TTTTATTACCTGAGATAAGGACGTAAGCTTTATAATAATATAACGTTTCAACCTAGAGGATACTTTTTCTACAATACTTAGTCTGAACGTCGAATTAAACTCAATATAGCAGCTAATCCAACATAATATTCCCTTATTGAAATCATGAATCAGTCTAAGTTAGATAACTTTTGGAAACATTGGGATGGCCGTTTCGTTTTACCATGGAACTTCTCAGTAGTGCGCATCCACAATCTCTAACGCGGGAACCGAACCTAAGACAGTCGATGTTGCACACAAATACAACCCTTAAACTACTGAGCCAGCATCCAACTGTCTCGCTGTTCGACCTCAATTAATCCAGATCTATAGTAACCGAAACGAAAGGATGAATATACTCACGACGACGTACGTACTATAAATAGAACACTTGTTTCTCCCGATCGGTCAGTAAAGTACTGTGTGAAAATGAAGCCATTAATACAATGTAATGGGGATATTTTTGTTAATTGTATATTTTAAGACGGGAAGAGAATTTTTGAGTAAACACAATAAACACGATGACTAGCCAAAAGATTTTTAGCATTGATTTAAGAGCTATTCGAGGGTCATATTTTATGTTCGGTTTTACCTGTACATTAGCCTTATCTTATAAACCAAAGATTTGAAATTTCACTATTTATAACTTCGTGTTCAGTAACTAAAATGTCATAATGAATATAGTTATATAATATGCCCTTGTGGTCCAGGGTAATTTTATATTGGTTTTCAGAACTAGACACAATGCAGACTCCCATGTGACAACCCAAACAGAACAGCTCAATCCTGCTTCGCAGGAGAACCAGACACCATATAGGCTTTGACGCTACAATTTGAATTATTATTATTATTTGAACACATGAATATTGGTACATGAGAGCGCCAATATATATGCGCCACACAAAACAATGAAAATTCGAAGAGAAAAAGAAAAAAAAGCTAAGGAGCGCAAAAAAGAGAGAGAACAATAACGAAGAGATTGGTGTAAGGTAATGTGCTAGTAATGAGGGAACGCAAAGGTACAATCGAAAGAAATCTTTCAGGTAAGGGAGACACAACCACTTTTTATGAAGAAAGTAAAAGAAGGTTACAGCAGGATCGCCACTGGCTTCTATTCTGAGCCATATCTGATAACGTCTCTAGCCACTGTGTAGCACCATCTCTCAGACCCCAACCAGGGAGTCGTGAAGGACCAACACAAGCCAGTCCTTTGCAGCTTTCTTTCGTGCCACGACACCATGTCATGCACTGACCACCTCTCCGCTTCTTCCAACCAGTCCCAGAGTCGGCAAATAATGCACGACGTGGAATTCTCTGGGACGACATCCGTAGAACATGTCCAAGCCACCGAAGTCGGTGTTTCAAGATGGTGACACCAATTGAATTATCATCTCTGTGCCCAAACACACGATGCCGAACCTCTGCATTACTACTGACATGGTGTTGCCACTGAATGTCAGCAATCCTTCGGAGACAGCGATGATCGAACAGAGAGAGTCATCTAACGTCCTCAACTCAGAGAGGCCAGGATTCACAAGCATAGAGAAAAACTGCTCTCACCGACGCGTTGTAGATCCGACCTTTTACAGCCAGACTAACATCACGAAGGGGCCAAAGGTGGCCCAGATTGGCATAAGCCGCTCTGGCATTCACTATACGTGCATTGATCTCATCACTCACACCCCCACCAGCGCTTATGCAGCTACCCAGATACACGAACTTCTCGTCTACTACTATCTGCTCACCATCCAGGGTGAGTACAGGATTGGAATCCTGCCAGTCTTGTAGAAGTACTTTGCACTTCGAAGGTGCAAAGCACATACCATACCTACGGACACTGATTGCCAACTGATTAAGTGCGGATTGCATGCCTTGAGTATTATCCCACAGTAAGACAATATCATCCGCATACTCAAGGTCGAGAAGTCTTTCTCCAGGCAACAGATCCACACTACCATTACTTACATCTATCAGATCTGTCCCCAGAATGTCATCGATGGCAAAGTTGAAGAGGAATGGTGAGATTGGGCAACCATGCCTAACCCCACTACTCGAATGGAACAATGGAGAGAGGTGGTTGTATGCCTTCACTCTGCCTGAGGTGTTTGTATATAGGGCTTTTAGGATGTTAATAAACTTCCCAGGCACACCCCTCTTCAATAGACAATCCCAGAGAACAGTCTTATCCAACGAATCGAAAGCATCCCTGATGTCAAGAAACACTACGATTGTTAGCCTTTGATAAGTATGACGGTGTTCTAACATTTGGTGGAGGATGAGGATATGATCAATACATCCTCGACCGGAATAAAAGCCAGCCTGCTCCTCGCGAGTCAATCTTTCTCGGGTTTTGAACAACCTGCGAAGTATGATGGAAGCCAATAGCTTGGACACGGTCGGAAGTAGACTTATCCCCCGATAGTTGTTACAGGAACGAAGTGAACCCTTTTTAAAGATAGGGACAACTATCGACTCATTCCATGACGTTGGTACACTCTCTAGCTCCCAGGCCTTTGTAAACAACGTCGTCAGTCCCGTAGTCATAAAGTCACCACCATCTTTGAAAGAGCCAGAGGTAAGTCATCTGGGCCAGGTGATCTGTAGCGCTTCAAGAGTTGGAGTTCCGTGTGGACTTCCACCTCATTTGGTGGGTCAGTCGTCACCGGCCATGGAGGACAGGACAGTCTGACCGATGTTGCTGGAGCAGCAGGCCAGTCGAACTGCCCCCGAATGCCCTGGTACGGCCGGGAGTGGGGAGAGTCCGCTCTCCCTCTCGAAATACTTTCACACGGCCGCGCGTATACAGCCTCTGCCAGGGAAGTCCTACTCATTGCCTTCTCGAGGCGGGTGTTGTTTACGAAAATGAGAGGACGAAAAGCGAATGTCCGGCGCTTTAACCGGATCACAAACCAATAATGCACATGGGCTCCAGTATCCTGAGGGAACAAATGACGTATGAACCGATCGTTGGTCACCGGCTACCATGGGATTGCATCTCCTTACGATGCTCCATTGCCTTGTGGATTAGACCTTCAGGTCGAAGGCTCGGGGAGTGGCTTCCTAAGGAGACCACCTGCTTCGGTTTGGGCACCCGGGCAGTATCACACACAAATGATGAACTCTCTATGTCTATGGAAACTACAATCTGAATAGTACAGTTTAATCCTGTGGCGCAACAACACAGATGCCAGCACCCTGGTGGACCATTCGCACCATTCATATCCGCATTTACGTCTTATGTATAGTTATTTCGATCAATGATCGTGTGAATCAATTATGCACAGCACAAACATGCCAAAGTTGACCTATTCCACTTACACGACAGTCAAACTCATTAATGTTAGCAATGGAGACATGCCTTACAATGTCCCAATGACAATGACCCTTAAGAACATTGAAAAGCAATCACCAGTATGAATGAAATCGGTTAACAAGCAAACCAATTTTGCACATAAACAGTCAGCAAAACTTGCCAAAGTAATGCCAAATAATTCACAATACCAATGGAGAACCTCTAATCTCATATGAGACCCTCAGCTCTACATAGCCATATAGCTTCATGAATGAGACTCATATAAAGAATTAGATGCATAGAAGCACGTGAAAATGTTGACAACCATTTCAATCACTTATACATTGAGTTTTTGGAAGGAGAACTCATCAACAAAAATGTGGTCGTTATATTATTGACCCCTTGGCAGTAGGTGAAGTTAATTTGAACACTATCAATTAATAAGCTAAGTGTTTACATAATCGACATACACATGAACAAATGCAGATAAAGACAGCCAGTGTAGCGGCAGTCTCTGCATCAGTAGGCTTCAAAATACGCAAGGGGAAAACCAAGGTCCTCAAATTCAAAGCGGAGAACAGAAATCCAATCACTCTTGATGGCGAAACTCTAGAAGATGTAGAATCCTTCACATACCTGGGAAGCATCATCGTTGAACAAGGAGGCTCAGATGCAGGTCAGAATTGGCAAAGCAAGGGCAGCATTCCTACAATTGAAGAACATATCGAACTAAAAACAACTGTCTGTCAACCAATATCAAAGTTAGAATCCTCAATACCAACGTCAAGGCAGTTCTACTGTACGTAGCTGAAACTTGGAGAACTACAACAACCATCATCAAGAAGGTACAAGTATTTATAAATAGTTGTCTACTCAAGATACTCAACATCCATTGGTCGGATATCATCAGCAACAGCCCAGTATGGAAGAGAGCAAACTAGCTTCCAGCTGAATTGGAAATTATGAAAAGCCGATGGAAATGGATAGGACATACACTATGCAAATCGTCAAACTGCATCACGAGGCAAGCCCTGGCTTGGAATCCGGAAGCGAAGTGGAAAAGAGGAAGGCCGAAGAACACATTACGTCAGCAAATAGAAGCAGATATGAAAAGGATGAATAACAACTGGAAGGAGCTGGAAAGGATTGCCCAGGACAGAGTTGGATGGCGAATGCTGGTGAACGGCCTATATTCCTTCACGAGGAGTAACAGGCGTAAGTTACATAATCGACGTAATTTTATAATGACATTATATAATTAAGCTTTTAAACATTACTGAGAAATGTAATACGAACTAGTAATAATAGTAATAATAATTAATTATATTTGAGAAATGAAAAACAAAACAGTAAAGTACACAAATAAACTTATCATCAAGATGATTACGAAATCGTCACGCAAAAAAAAACTCCTTCAGTTCTCGTATTTAAAATGTCAAAAACAACAATAATAATAATGACATGTACTGATACGTATATGTATATACGTGGAATTGTAAAAACCGGTCTCTTACATTCACCCTCAAGATGTAGTTTTTTTTATTACTGTATTCAAGAAAAAAATATAAACCAAATGAACAGTCTAACAATTAAAGCGAAAACAAGAAAAATGAATAAAGTTGTCATTATTATTATTATTATTTTAACGTAACATACAATAACGGGTAGGTAAACTGATGATTATTGTTTATTATTTGTCATCAGATAAAGCAATTTCTTTAAATAAACATTTAACTGTACGATTTAATTTAACAACACGATTACGTAATGCATTGGTAATCTTATTATTGTTTTTATTCGTTGAATTATTATTATTGTTATTTGTTGAGCTTAGTAAAGTATCAAGACGTGTATTAAGTAAGTGTAATATTGCTGGTCCATGAACTGATGTAGTAGGATCATCAAATTCAAGACAAAGAATAGCTTCTTGAAGATATCTGTTTTAAATGAAATAAAAGTAATAAATAATATGAAAATAAACATTGTTTGTTTTAACACATAGATATTGGTATAAGGAGGCACCAAATACATATGCGCCACACAAATCTCATTTGATATGTGTGAGGGCTGTGATACTGCCCGGGTGCCCAAACCGAAGCAGGTGGTTTCCTTAGGAAGCCACTCCCCGAGCCTTCGACCTGAAGGTTTAATCCACAAGGCAGTGGAGCATCATAAGGAGATGCAGTCCCATGGTAGCCGGTGAACAACAATTGGTTCATTCGCCATTTGTTCCTTCAGGATATTGTAGCCCATGTGAACCATTGGTTTGGAATCCGGCTAAAGCGCCGGACATTTGCTTTTCGTCCTCTCATTTTCGTGAACACCCCTGATGAGAGAAGGCAGTGAGTAGGACTTCACTGGCAGAGGCTATATAGGCTTGGCCGTGTGAGAGCATTTCGAGAGGGAGAGCGGAATCTCCCCACTCTCGGCCGTACCAGGGCATTTGGGAGCTATGAACATTGTTGAATAGTATGTATTTATTTAGTTGAAGAAATAACAATCAATTCAAAATAATATAAATTTATTTTATTTTGAGTGAAAATTACGTGTCAATGTATCGCCAAGCATTTTACAAAGAATTTGGGATTATCGAAATGTCCTAATACTGAATACTGCAATATTTACTTAGGTACGCCCGTCACTTCTCGTGGAAGATCGTTGGCCACCTACCAGCAATCTCCATTCAACCCTATTCTAAACGATCGTTATCAGTTGATATTCACCCTTTTGATAGCTGCTTCCAATTTTTGACGTAATACATTCTTCGGCCTACTTCTCTACCATTTTCTTTTATGATTCCAAGTTGGGACTTGCTTCCTGATGCAGTTTGGTGATTTCCATAATGTATGTCCTATCCATCTCCAGCGTCTCTTCCTGATTTCCTCTTCATCTGGAAGCTTGTTTGTTCTCTCCCATGGTAGGCTGTTGCTGATGGTGTTCGGCCAACGGACGTTCAGTATCTTTCGGAGACAATTTTTTATAAACACTTCTATCTTTTTGATGGTTGTAGTAGTTCTCCACATTTTAGTAGAACTATAGTGACGTTCTCACTGAAGATTGAGACTTTGATGTTGGCTGAGTTGTTTTGAATTCCATATGTTCTTCAACTACAAGAATGCTGTTCTTGCTTTGCCAATCCTCATCTTTACGTCTGCACCAGATCCTTCACCTTCGTCGATGATGCTGTCCAGGCACGTCAAAGTTCCCCCACTTTCCAGATCTTCTCTGGTGAGTGTGATTGGGTTGGTTTTCTCCGCGTTGGATTTGAGGATCTTTCTTTTTCCCTTACATTTGTTGAGGCCTAGCGCTGCAGAGACTCCTGCAGCACTGGCTATCTTGACTTTCATTTGTTCGTTTGTATGGGATAGTAGATCTGGGTCATCTGCGAAGTCCAAATTGTGTAGCTGCATCCAAGCTGTCCATTGTATTCTATGCTTCCCCTCAAATGGAGAAGTCTTCATGATTCAGTCAACCACCAGAAGAAAGAGAGGGAGAAATTAATAAGCCTTGTCTGATTTCGGTTCCCACTTAGAATGTATATATGAGCTGTCCTCCGTGCACGAATTCGCAGTGTAGGTTTTCTACGTATTTCTGCTTGTCGATTCTAATGTCCCTCTTCAATCTTGTTCGCTCCTGTATATTCGTCGTGTGCCTTGGCTTTCTCTCCTCTTGGTTGACTGAACAATTGCTGTCTTCTTGTTCTTCTTTTATTGAATCTTGGATAGAGTTTCGAAATAGATCCATTCCTTATGATGATGCTACTTGCGACCCAGAACCTCCTGATACACTGAAGTTAGTGCTACTTTGATCTCTTCCCAGTTGTCCGCCACAGTAGTTTCTTCTTCCAGTATATGTAGTAGGGCTTGGAACCTGTTGTAGAGTTATCTTGAAATTGTTGAGTTTGTTATTATCACGAAAGAACCTCGCAATGCTGTTTCCCCAGCTACCCAGTGCTTCTTCGGCTTCAGATACATCTTGAAAACCACAAGCTGGAAGTGATCTGAAGCTATGTCAGCTCCCAATGCTGCAATAATTTGAAATTAATTGACAGCGGGTACATTGCTGACAGTATTAGATGTAATGGGAAGGATTAAAAAACCAGCGAAATTATTCGAGAAATACGGGTTAGTGTAGTAGAAATATTTGTTATATTACTTAGAAACTTAGGATTTATGGAAAGATAAAGAGTAAATGAATCTATGCCGTTACGAAAAATTTTAAGCTACGTTACCCGATTTCTCTAACCGATGGTTACAATAATCATGCAGACTTCAACTAAGTCGTTTCCACCTACCTAAGTCACACAGTCCAACAGTCAATGTCTTGATAGATTGATGCCACGTCATACATCAGCCGTCTCCAGATTCCTTCCAAACTGCCCATACACTAGCTACCATCGTACGTCGAGGATACTTAGTACATGTCCTTAGTCCATAAAGATTAACTAACTATTTCGTCACTTGATTTGCCATCCTTACTTAGTAGTGTTTATAACCTCTGTTAAGGGCGAAGTAGTAGTAAGTGTTAAGTTGTTTTCTTCAAAGAACACACATCTGCACCGATGACTTTTCTCACAGGGAAGTGGGAGTTAGAAAAGGCGAGGCTTGAAAAATGGAAAATTTCACCTTGACCATGAATGTATGTCCTCGATGATAAGGTCATAAGAGTACGGAGCTAACATACTAAAAACTATTCACAAAAGGTTGTGTGTGACCGAGTTCAAACAGCTGTCCCATGAGCATTGGAGATCAGATTCCCAGAATTATGAGACTACGCCTAATTCACTTTTATTTTCAAATACCTCAAGAAATACTTTCACGGTCTAGTAAAACAAGAAGTAAGAATTATCATAATACCTCTATTCATACTCGAAGAAGAGCTCAAATTCGACTAGAAGGATCTAAGATTATTAGTACAATAAAATTTGATGTAAATGTGTAGACTATCGGTAATCATTGCAAATCATAATATAATGAAATCGTACATACATATAAATTGAAGATTATAATTACCAATACACATATATCATGTTACAAAGAATTAATTAATTAATTTCTTAGTTAAAATCTCACCTTTTCACGTAGAGTACGTTGAATATTATCTGTTAACGTTGTTGGCAATGCAGATAAATGATCTTTTAACACATTAAATAAAGATTGCTGCAATGGTTCAACAATTCGCGATAAATCTAATTAACCAAAAAAAGCAACAGAATATTAACAATGAAAAGACAGTTGTAATATAAGGAAAAATAACAGACACAACAATGAGCTGTTTTCTTTAGTAGCACCTACAGATAGACAGTATAGTCATATATACATAGGGGTTAGGTGAAGTGAGGTATTTTTAGGGTCATCCATCTCTAGCCCCTCCCTTCAGCTATGAACTACGAAAAGGCAGTATCAGTGAAGATCCTTGCTGTTTGGGGAAAACACTTTGATGCCACTATACTCCTTATTATACTCAGCACGTTGGCTACGATTTCAGATTATGAGTTTGAAATTTTTAGTCCAACTGTCCTCTAACCAATTTACCAGGTGTGGTAAGACTTAAAGAAACAAGTGTTCTAGTCAAAATAGATCGAATAAGTTATCATAACACACAAATCCAACCACTATTTTTAAGGTAGCAGCCACGATCAATGCCATAGAAATAAGTAAGAAATATTGTTAGCTTAGGTTTTCTGTATGTAGACTGCAGTTCAATCAATTACAAATAATGGGATCGAGAAAATATAACGAAAACTGTTACAATTTCCAACTACGAAATACATATTTGATTCATCCAGATAACACAGTAACCATTATTTATATACAAAATATTCAACTGACTTAACATGACAATAGATTATTAACCAAATAACCATTGAATATGTAGGTCAAAAGGCTACCAATGAGTATTCAATTCTACTTGTTGTAACAAAAATATAAATATTCAATTATATGACATAGAATTCATTTAAAGACTTAGTCTTTCAATCACTTATTTTGATTATTCAACAATCTTAGTTTTAGTGCTTGTGGGTGATTGTTTTTTTTTCTCTTATTTACTGATGTATCGACTCACTGTTTTTCTTCTTCCAGATTCTAACTCACAAATATACATTGCTGAGTGTCATTTCCTCCCACTATTGTGAACAACATAAGTTTCCAAATTAGTAATAGAGCCTACCAACAAGAGTTGAGAAAAAAAATTACTACTACTTACTATTTGAAAATACTCTTACTAATTCTTCGTGTAGTACACGTCTGATACAATCTGATGTTATAGTTGGCAAGGCATTAACACGTGATTCTAAATTATGCAACATATTTGTTTTCATTGAATGATTTGAATCTTGTATATTTGATAAGATTTTATTCATATTTTCAGAAATTTTTGCATAACGACGTGCAGAATCCCCTTGAACAGTTCGTACTGGAATGTTTTTGTAAAAACAAAAAAACATTTGATCGGTGACCAAGTATGATCAATTAGAGAAAGGAATTTAATATTACATTTAAAAGAGTATCATATATACTACCAAATAATATGAAAAGTAAGTAGTATTCTTTTAACCTCATCTATTATTTGGTTATTTTATCTTACACTTGTTGTGTATACAAGTCGGAAGACAGTACTATAATGATTACAAGATAAAAGTTAGACGTATTTACAAGATATAAATAAAATGTTACGTTTTAATGCTTAGTGGTGATCTGAGCCATGTCATTCAACATCTTAAAATAATGAACGCATTAATCATGAGGATACTAATTAGGTAGTCTGTATCTACCAACATGGTTCCGAACATAAGTTAATGGATCCACAGATTGATGTCATATTTTGGTTTAACCATCTCTGGTTTTCTTCCAATCTACTTCTACCCTTTTAAGCATCGCTCGTCGAGGAAGGCGGTATTTAGGCAAACGTAACATAAGTTTCAACTACTTATGTTGACGAGGATTTACCACCTTATCAATTAATACTAACGACTTTAAACCACGAAATGCTATTCCTGGTCTCTTGAAACCGAGCTATAAACTGACATTAATGTTTGAGTTAAACTTTATGAAGAACTATCATCAGAACTGATAGCTTCAAGTGATGTTCGTCAGGGTAATCCATTTGCCTTTTTTTATAGACATCCTTCTAGAGATAAAACTCGCCATCTGACTTTTCAGGAATCAATATCCCAGGAGACAAATTTGTTGACTTCGAATACGCAGATGATATAGCTCTATCGGGAGAAGAAGATGGAAAGATGAAAAAACCGCCTTGAGCAACAACGAGAGCTTATTCGGAATGCGAATCTTTCCATCTAAATGCAAAATGTTGCATCAGGACTAGTGTATATCAATGCTTGAAATAAGGACAGGAAGTGAACTAGTTGAGCATACTGATCACTTCATTTACATTAGAAGTCTAATCAACACCAGTTGATTAGATTCTGACGAAATCACAGTTGATTTTTGTCAGCTTCAGTCACTTGTGGCGTATGCAAGATTATTGTCTGCCAACTATGGGATGAGTATACTGTTCACCAGTTAACTCCGTTCTACTTTCTGGGTGTGAAAAGTGACCTTTAAAACATAGGATGTTATTAGGCTACTAATATTCGATCATATATGTCTCCACACCATTATTTGTACATTTTAGGATCACACAGTTGGTGAATCTGAGCTTACATGCAGGGTTCTAAGCAAGAATGAAAAATCAATTGACGAGGTGATGAACCTTTACTGACTGAGACAGTTAGGGTACGTATTACGTGTGCCTAATCACCGAATACCTCGATGTGCGACGGCTGGTGAAGAACTTATTCGGAGAAACTATAGGGGTGTAAACTACTTGGTATGGGTTCAAACAATCATCGTAGTCACTGGTTGAAAAGTTTGAGAGTGACATGGCGCACATCCTATTACAGTAGCGTAGATTCATTCATTCATTGTATCCCCCCACCCCGATATTCTAATTTTTCTAACTATCTTGTGATTTTTCACCTCATGAATTCATATTTTTCTCAATTACATTGTCTATGTCTGGTCGTTTATGCCACCACTAATACTGTTATTACCTCTATTACTTTGGTACTTGTTCTGACAATTTCATCTCTTTATGTTAATTGAATGTGACTAGTTGAATTGATACACACAAGTGTCACATTCAATGTTGTTTATGACTTATTGTGAACAATCTGTACAACTAGTCGGATTTCGATTTCAGACACAATAGAAACAAATCAATCATAGAAGAAAAAAATTGAAAAGCGAAATAGGACCAAATAATGTTAACCGATACTTAAAATTTCAGATAGAAATCCCAATTATCTATTACCCAATGTCAATAAATTTAATCCATATCATTCGTAAATATAATTTTTAGAACTTTTTTAAATTTTCATTAATATCACATTGATAGTGAGAGTAGTGAACCAAGAGATGATTTACACTTCGTATTCTTCGAATTGGTTGTATCTTGACTTAAAATTCTAGATGTATAAAATTTGAGCTCAACCCTTTATGGAAGAGGAGACTCAAACTAAATCTTATGTTTTACTTCAAAATACTTAATAAATTATTTTTTACATCTAATCAAATAATTCAATATGCAGAAAATTTTAATTACGACATCCGTAACCCCTTGTGTGGCTAGTGAAACAAACTCATTCTAAATCATTTCTCTATATGAATTACTTTGACTGTAAATTTTTATGACTGGAATAATCTACCATAATCTATCCGTACGATAAAATCACTCCCATTCTTTGTTCGCTGAATTGATGCATACTGCTCCTCTGAAAGTGCATGAAATTTTCTAGCATATGTAAGTGTATGTTATTCCACAACTGAGATTATAGGAACTTAAAACCACCTACCAGCTGTCACTTTACATTAACATTGTCCCTAGCAACACTAACTAATTTGACTAATATGTTACATTAACAGTACATCACTGTGTCACATGACACATGCATTTTGGTAGATCTGATTGACATATTTTGGTAATTATTGCTATGTTGTTCCGTGCTCTCTGTTTTTGTTTTACTTTCTCTTGTTGTAGATAAGTATCATCGATTCCTTCTAGCACAGGAAATGACCTTAAATATACTATTCATAAATCAACAGACTGTCCACTTAAGAATAATTAAGAGTTCCCGGTTGATGCATTGTATTGTTGTAATATACATGTACTACATAAACAATTACTGAACTAGTATACTTGAAACTATCCTATATCACATGATTTTTCGTTACATCTAATGTTACAATTTATATCAAATTCGTTATGCCAATAAACTGTAATTATTATTTACAGAATATATATATATATATATATATATATATATATATATATATATATATATATAATTATTATTACTAAAAATCAACAAACGAAGTTATGCTTTTTCTTGATCGGACTACTACCGTAGTGAACAAGAAAACGAGTGGGGACGATCGAATGTATTTGAGCGCAAAATTACAATACATCTCACCAAAATCTGACAACCATATAGTACATAATTAATTTGTAAAATGGCAATCCATCGTTTCAAATTTGACTGTTCCTTTTGCAAATCTCAGTTCATCATCTAAGATTTCATTGTTCCTGCATTTTCAGACCAACTAATTTCCGTTCATCCTCCCCATTCTTACCCTCTCGATTTTCCACTGAAATACATGCTATGTCAGACCATCGTTATATACTACTTATATGGATATAAGAAGCTCCCACAACACTACTACTACTACTATTACTACTACAATAAACCGCACTCCCATTATCATTTTATGAGTTAAACAACCATAGGCATCATCTTAACTATTAACCGAGTTACTAGACATTAATACACATGGAATAAAGCATTTCAGTATTGTTCTTTTAGAATTAGTAATTGAATAAATATTAAAAGTCAAGTACTCCAACATCTAGGCTCTACCATTCATCTATCTGTTTATTTGTACAGTTTTCATTGAGTTGGTGAAGATTTATAGTTCTATATGAAGTTTGTGCTGGTAGATATCATTCAGAAGAAGAACAATGAAATCTGTACAATCAAATCATCCAGTTCATAGAACAAAACTCCATCAAAATACAGTTATATTATTTAACAATACATCCAGTCACTATTTTTTTGATAAACAAAATATCTAATAATGAGAAAATGTGCCATATATATATATATATATATATATATATATATATATATATATATATATATATCAGTCAGTAACAACGTAGAACTTCGTACATACGTACATCAGTTCTTGCCATACCACATTAGCACAGAGATCCAATTGTCGATTCAAATCCCATAGTGACGAAGTTAAACAAAAATGGAGAGAGTGGACAGCCTTGACTAACACCAATTGAGGTAATAAATTCTGATGACAGTTCGCCATAAGCTCTCACTCGACCAGTTGTGTTCGAGTAGAGAGCCTTTATAAGGTCAATGTACTTCTTTCACTGACAAACACTGCCACAGAACCTCACGATCAACATAGTCGAATGCTGCCTTAAGGTCGAGAAATACTACGATTGTTGGGCGTCTGAATGTGTGTCTGTGTTCTAGAACCTGACGTAGTGTGAATATTTGGTCTATACAACCACATATATATATATATATATATATATATATATATATATATATGCATGTTATATTAACTAGAAAAACTGATAAACAAATGAAACATTTTTTTCCAAACAAAACATGGTTTCATCTATTTAGGTAAAAAAAAAATGAATATATAAACTATGTAAAATTTTCAACTTAACTTATGTAATCAAGGGTAGTAGTAGTTTGATAAAAAAAATTGTTACTATATAATTTATGGATCATGATGTTTATGTGTGAGAAAAATTGGTACACACAAAAAAATAATCGATATGTTTAATGATGTAATTAAAAAGAATGATAATTCTGCTGTATCCGTGTACTTTATAATTTAGTGAATTATAAATATCTTTAAAACAATGTTGGTGTTTTTGTGGAATAACTGAGTGAGCAATAAAATATAGTTAGAAACGATGTCAAATCAATCAGTCAGACACAACTTAGGAAGTGTTACATATGTATTGCCAGTTTAACTTGTCACATTCAATTAACAAAAAGGGATGAAATTGTCAGAACAAGTACCAAAGTAATAAAGGTAATAACAGTATTAGTGGTGGCATAAACGACCAGACATAGACAATGTAATTGAGAAAAATATGAATTCATGAGGTGAAAAATCACAAGATAGTTAGAAAAATTAGAATATCGGGGTGGGGGGATACAATGAATGAATGAATCTACGCTACTGTAATAGGATGTGCGCCATGTCACTCTCAAAGTTTTCAACCAGTGACTACGATGATTGTGTGAACCTATACCAGACAGTTTGAAGGTAAAAATGAAGTTAAGTAAAATTATCAATGACGTCATAGACTAATGTCATTTGTTGGTTTTCCACTATTAGCTTTCTGTCAACCTACTCCTACATTACCCAACATTGCGCGTCTTGTACTAAAACACTTTCGTCCAAGATTTTAAGTTGCTTCCTTCATGCCCACTGAATGAACAACGGCAATCGTGAATGGACGACCTGAAAATGCCTATTGAAGTGATCAGTGATGGGGTTAAGTCTGCATGAAAAGACCACCACTGTAATTTGGTTTAAGAGTGTCCGACTAGTATCCCAAGCACACGCGAAGATGCTTATGATGAAGGCTGGAAATATAACTAAGCCGTCTCTGAACCATTGTAGCTAAGTTGAAGGATTTAAAAATTGGGTGACCATAAAGGAATGTGATGCCTTACTAGGTTAGTGTAACAGACTGAACATGCATACATACAAACACAAATTATTATATAAATACAAGCTCATACTATTAGAATTCTAGGCAACAGTATAACAAGATAAAATAAAATAGACTTACATTGTGAAATTATCTGATTAGACAATTCCATAGATTTAATTTCCCAATGTTCTAAATTCACATTAGATTCGGTCATTGTGACAATGTTGGATGGTTGTGTCGATGGCATTAGTGATCCTTGGTAATTAACATTGTTTATTTGTTCAATGATATCGAATTGTGTTTGTTCAAGCCGTTCAAGTTTCAATTTTGTTTCATTTAACTGATCTAAAACAGAAATGTTTCGTAATCAATAAAGAATGGTTTAAATAATGGATAATCATGAAGTATTAATAATTACCATTATCATTATGACACAGATACTGAGAAAAGATATACAATCTAAATGTAAGGGATTAAACGATGGTTGTGAATATGTTCGAGGCAGATGAAACACAATTGTAGTAAATCATAAGAATATTTTTCTTATGAACTGATATAGATATCAATCAGAGAAAACTAGGTAGTAATGAACAGTTGCTACATAACAATTGGAAGGTCTTCATCAATACATACATATACACCACTGTTTCTTACTACACTAGTGAAATTATAAGGACTTAAAATATTTCATCACTGTTAGTGTTGAGTGTACATACCTAAATTCTCTTCAGATTGATATTTTATCCGTTAACTTCAACGCAACTATGTCGTTGATCTTAAACCACATGACTATTGTAATATTCACATATTTATCGTAAGAATGTATACAGAACAATGGATTAGATTAAATAAAATTTAACGAAATCAGTAGGTTATAAAACCATCAAATATACTGATAAAGACAGGCCTATTACTATTCCGTGTTCACTACTTTTATTTTATTTTTTCAAGATTTACTTACTTACGCCTGTTACACCACGTGGAGAAGCATAGGTCACAAACCAGCATTGTAACAAAAATGGAACCACCCTTTGCTACACAATTTCATTTGAAAACATAACGTCTCAAAACTCCTACTAAGAAAGTGTTAATTATCAACTGTTAAATCCTATAGAATAACGATTATTCTAATGCTGTAAGTAATGTTAATTTCTTAGTGTAATGATGTTCTTGAATAATACTGCCTATCAAAGACAATAATAATATATCTGATATGAGGAGATAAGAAGGTGGTATAATTTCAGGTCAATTTTTTGGTATTAATTCAGTATAAATTTCGTACAGAGTTATAGGTGCGAACTACTATTTAGTGTAACATTTATATTTCCTGTATCAATTTAGTGTGCTTTGGAATTAACCTTAAGTACTTCTCCGTATATTATGGTATAATCATGTGTGTATTTTGGCCTAATATCAACTAATTTTGGTGATGCATTCTAAACAGACAATAAACTTTATTTATACCAGTCTTTTGTATCCACATTTCCCGAATACTATATTGACAACAGCGATAAAAATAGTGATAAGGGTAATTTACAAATTTCTGCAGCCTTAAAACTATCTGGTTCGAGTTCGAGAAAGAAAGGTGTAAAGCAATTTTAATCCAACAGCTTAGGGCAGGATAAATAGTGCATACACATACACCAATTTGATGATCGATTTCAAGCCATGTCACTCAGAGTCTCCAACCACTGGTTGCAATACTCATGCGGACCCCCAACCATATATGTGTGGATTTTGACGTAGAAGTTAATTTTATAATCAATGAAGTTTATCACTTACCAGTAGAAAAAAGAAAAGAATGTAGTATATATTTAAACTGTAATTAAGACAAATACAATTAATTTCAATAAACATACTAAGTATTTTGCAAATAAACAAAAACAATTTTTATTTTTTTAAAGAATCTCACCTAAAAGGTATTCGAATTGTTTACTTTGTTTTTCTGAATTCATCGATAACATTTCCAAATGATTTAAAATTCTATTCATTTCATTATTATTCCTTCTGTTATCGTCGTCGTTGGTATTGACTTTGTTGTTGATATGACTGTCATGTTCAGTAGTTTCATTAAGTGCATCTATTCTGTTAATTGTGGAGTTTAAAATATCTTCCTCTTTTAAAATTGACTTCAAATCTTCAAATGATTGATAGTTGCGACAATCATCATCATCATCACCTTCTTCATCGGCATTGTCAAGAGCCCTACCTACACCTTCACTTTCCCCACCACCACCACCACCACCATCATCATCATCATCATAAACAACGAAATTACAAGTGCTTAATGATGCCGCCGAGGTAATATCCAATGGTGATGAATTTTTTAAATGGGTTTCTTTTGCAGTAGTATTAGTAGCAATGGTCGACCATAATGTAGTGTCTTTAGTTGATGACATTGTTAACGAGAGTTGAGATGGTAGTGGAGGCGGCAACAATTCCAATGGTGGAGACACTGACGATGTTGTTGTCGTTGTTGTTAAAAAGATCAAGTCATTCTCATCTATGTGATTAGTCGTAATATGTGCTTCATTGCTTAAATTATCATTATTACCATTATTATCACGAGTTGGACTACTTGAATTTAATGGGATTTTATTCGTTGTTGTGTCTGGTCGAATAGTTAATAATAATTGATTGCGTGAGAACGAAAATTAAATAAATAAATAAATGAACAAGTATTAATAACAATGTTTAAATCATTCAATGAAATGTTTTTACATATGATTCATTGTTAGATTTTTATTTAAGAACTAACTCAACCAAGTGTGGATTTATGTCCTCAGCTAATAATACATGTAAGCCAATCACTGCTTGAATAGCTGCTAATTGGTAACGAATGTGAAGCTGAGCGATGTGTGGTCGAATCCTACAAGAACTATCAGTTCACTCAAAATTTCAGGTATGCATTGATGACGAGCAAGGTTTTCTAGTGAATACCTCACCAACCGATTGATATCTGAACGTAGTGCTAAATCACTTAGACAATTTGGGGATGAGATTAGGTCAGTTATAAAAGACAAGATAAGCATGAAATCGGTCATTAATCGGTGACAATCACTGAACAGTTACAGCATGTTCTTTACTGTACACGAAAACCTGAATATTACTTTAATCACAAAGTCAACGTATTTCTAATATATGTGATTGAAAAATAAAAACACACTGACATAAAGAACAAAGTTCATGCAGTTATATTGCTGAAACTTTATTATAGAGACGAACTTATTTGGCGTTCGAGATGAATCAAGAAAACATAAACGAACACAGATAATTTACAAAACTTACGAATTTTGGAAGATATATAATTCATCAGTTTAAATCACAAGCTGATCTTAGCCAGACCACCATTGAAAATCTGGAAAAACTGGACGCTCGAGGTGGTGGGTGGACTTTACGGACGAGTCGAAAACTAGGACGAAATGGCTATTCACGTTTTCAATAGTAGTGTGATTTGAACTGGAAGACATCATACTGATTTTGACTGGCATGGTCCTATAGTGTAGTTACATCCTGGAGTGGATAAAGTGTACTCCAAACTTGAAAAGATTTAGCGCTGTAAACGATATATATATATATATATATATATATATATATATATATATATATATATATATATATATATATGGGTACAGAAGAAATTTAATAAATATCCATTCACCTGACAGTAATTTGTCCACAGAATCGGGCGCGTTGTCTTCAAAATCGATCTCCCCATTATCATCGTCATCATCATTACCGTTATCACCAACTACAACACCACTCCTATGATGCTGTTGATGAGTTGTCGTGGTAATTTCAATCGGAAGCGTATAGTTATCACCCGTACTGCATAATGACGGTACACAATTCATAGGTGAGAAGTCAGAAATCGCAGTTTTATCAGCAGTTTTCGAAATAGATTCAAAAACGCTATAGTAAGAAAAACATTAAAACACTAAATAATTTATATTGTTGATTATATGATTCGGTCAGTCAGTCATAATCAACAGAGTCAGGCAAAAATATCCACGTTATAACCAGAATAAGTGGTTGAGGGAATCTGGTTATATGACTCAAAATCGTTCACAAGGGCGCAAATTTACTCAGTTTATTTTACTCTAGATCTTAAGTTCTAGTATTCCTTTATATATATAGATATACCTTTTCGAACTATCTTTTCGAGTCATATTCCCAAAGTTAAGCCTTTCTCATTATCATTTCTACCACACTATTTCGACTCCATTATTCGTTTTGTTGTGCTAATACAGTATGGCAACTTGGGCTAAAGCATATTTGTGCCACGCAATACGATGACTAACTGACTAGGAAAAATATGTATTAGCTCAAGTTGCTTTACCGCATATCAGCACAATAAGATAAAATTAAAAAGATGAATTTTGAAGAACTTGAAATAACGTGTTATCAATCATATTCAGAGAGACGAGATGATAGAGAATTGGATTTGAGAAAATAGAATGACAAGGTATATGTGGACATTAATTGTCCCCATTTACATGGCGATATAATATTAAAAATCTACTTACCATTTCAGAATCATTTCACATATTGAATTTTATGGAACATATGTTATGCTATCTATATTAGTCCCTAGCAATAGTATAAATAAATTTTACACTCCTGGCTAGCTATATATAATTGCTTGTTATTTACAATCGACTTAGAAAACGGTAACAGTAGTATTTAATTATTTGATCTATTAAGTGTTTTGTGTGAAAAACAATCGTTCTAGTTGTACTATCGCTTCATTTTAGATGTTGGTCAGACCCTCTCCCCTTCAGTGAATTTTTTTTTGAACTTATGTAAGAGTTTTGTATATTTGATAAATTTTCTTAGAAAGAAAACATCACAGTGAATAGTGAACCGAAAGAGATTGAATCTTTTCTGCACAAAATAGATGCCAAATTTACATTTAACCTCACATTAACTCATCATTTTTTTAGGAAACATTTTGATGCAGAAAAATACATTGCCAATCAATAGAAGACAAATTAACGATTTTGATCACAAGATTTTTAAGGCGAGAAAATCTACGGATCAATGATCAAGATTCAAGTGAGTTTGTTATAGTGTATGGATAATCCAACGAGACAATCTAAGAAAAGTATAGAGTAGGGATTAGTGAAAAGATTCATGAAAAATAAAGTAGAATATAAAACTCACAGTTCTTCAGTCGATTGATTATTTATGTTTAACAATGTTACAGAAAGAACATTTTGAAGGTTTTCCGCTTCCGGTGGTTCATGTTGACTTGGAGAAATTGTTTCCATATTATGATTCAAACTGGAATTATCCTCAATTTCAGTTTTAATAGATAAATGGGAATTAGAACTATTTAAATTCGTTAGTTTCTCCATCATTAATTGATTTTCCAAAGTGTTAGGCATCAAAGAATTATGACTAGAAAAGTATGTTTACATATAAATGAATTGGTCAATGTGGTAAATGAAGAAATAGGATACGTAAATTAGAAAGTGATATACTTTATATATAAATATATATACTTGTTATGTCCCGATAAACATAATGAATGGTAACTTTTGGGATCCATTTATGGACCAGTACTATGCGTATATTATTATCGTATAATTGCCAAGTAACTAAACTATTCATATCCATGTCTCTCTTATTATGAGCTTTACTTTGACCTATGAACTATTATTCTAAGATTTACCATTCTTGAATTATGTCTTGACTATTAATTACTACCTCCCACATTCACAGCCACTTTTGGCCAACATTGTACAAATGTTGTTCCATATTTTATGTTACGTTGTGGTCTGTTTGATTGGTATATAAACTCAGTATGTTTGAAATATAATGATTCACATTGCAGAGGCTCGGATTGGTGTTCTGGACTTAACTGGCTGAGTTAGGCGGAAAGCAGGATCAATCAGAACTCTAGGCTGCTCGCGCGTCTTTACGCGTCCTTGGTCCGATCGATAAGTAACTGACCTCTAATCGGCGGTCACAAGTTATAACAATACGAAGATATACTACTACACTTGATGTAATTGTAAAAGACTAATCAGTAAAATTAATTTAAATGTAGTTCTGATTTCTGGTACCTAATAAGTCCTATAGTTGAACATTTGGATATTGACTTTTCAGTTCACAGAAAATCTTCCATTCTTGAAAATCTGACGAAAATCAGGGTACAAGAAATATAAAAGTTTGATTATTAAGGTTAGATTATGTACAGTAATCGAGAGAATGTATAAGATAATAGACGAATTGAAGATTGTAGACGTTTTAAGAAAAGATACAAAATTGTGGAAAATTTCAGATAATGAATTATTCAGGGATAAAGAAAGAACAACCACTCCTTCCCTTGATTTTACCTATAAGTTTTCAATGAGTAGTAATTGAATTCAGTATTTTCTGGAGGTTGTACATACATATTTTAAATCAACAATACTGCGGAATGACGACTGAATTACTTAAAACATACAACGTTTAACTGCTACGTTGAAAATTCAAACCCTATTGTAAGTATATGAATCTGAGTAGCTGGCCCTTAAGCACATAAAGTGTATGCTAAAAAGTCGATTGCGCACCAATCTTTATCAACATCACTGTCATGAAGAGCTCAAATGATAAAAATAATATATAACTTTACCACATACAATTTACATATTCACAAACAAGACCTCCAATCTATTTATTTAAACACAAACATTGGTACAAGGAATCACCGAATACATATATACCATAATTGATTATTCGGTTTGTGTTAAGACAGGGATACTGCCCTGTCGCCCAAGCCGAAGCAAATGGTTTTCTAAGAAGCCACCCCTCGAGCGTTTTACCTAGATGTCTAATCCACAAGGCAGTGAAGAAACGTTGGGAGATGCAGTCCCATGGTAGCCGGTGACCAACAATAGGTTCATACGCCATTTGTTCTTTAAGGATTCTGGAGCTAACTACTTGTTCGTTCTGCCTCTAGAGGTTATGGAATTAAGCCAAACTGCAAAAAATACATTTTAACGACAAATATTGTGAATTTATTATCCTATGTTAAACCAGCCAGTTCGGTACTGACTAAATCATATCAGTCACTACATTTCAAGTCATTTTTACACTGTGTTACTGAAGGCTCATCAAAGAATTCATTTTCAATATTTGGAATTATCCACAGCTGTTTGTAATGAACATATCTAGTGTAGTGCAGCCCAATATGCCAGATGAAAAACATATAGTGAGATCTTATAGTGAAATGATCAATTGAATCGAGAGCTAAGTAGCAACATTTCCAAATGAGGGAACATTGACGACGAGGTTCGAATATACAGTAACAATCGCAACAAGGTTGCAGATATGATAAATATAGCAGCTAGTGCTGTACATCGACATTTGAAATATACACTAATAACGGAGTAGTAGTACTAAGTATGCAATTAGTTCTGAATAACTAATGGCATAGGGCGAAACACATATAAAATATAGAATATGATTATTTCACTTACCCTAATTGTTTCCTAGTGAGTATTTCAGAGGAATCACGCTCATTAAGAACCTTGAAAACAGTAAATAGAAAAATGAGTTTTTAATGATTAAAAATAAATGTTCAAAACTATGCGATAAAATGAAAGAAAATATTCAACGCGACCTCCAACTGTCAGTAGATATTCTTACAAAATCGGTGAGGTAAAATATAAATATGAAACGGGCAGCTATACTTTATGAACTAGTTAGTTTATCTATATAAGTAATGGTTGTAAACTCTGTGTTACTAGCCCAATATTTATTGCTGTATCGACTGCCGTTCATACATTATAATTCGATTAACTGTGAATATGTTGCTAAACACCGTATAAGAAAATGTCCCAGATATGTTAATCACTGTTTTTGATCTTCCATTCAACTAATATTATCACGTAAGACCTCGAGGCCTGAAAGTTCTGTATTTCACTCAAGCCCAAATCATTAGTACTCATGGTTAGCTATTCATATACATAGGACGAAATAATCATTCAGTGCTTCCTGGTATTCTATATTTTATTAGACCAATTCACGTTGTGAACTATCGACATACATAGATTCACCCCAAAAATAGTATCCATGTCGTGTATGTAATGTGGTTACAATAAGTGATATGTTTATCATATTTGATTTTGTTTCCACATATTTATTGGACCGTACAATTATACGATTCATTATTGTATAAATTGTCACATTTAGAGAAATATACTACCTTTCTGATTCCAAGATATTCAGTATGAACACATCTATAAATCAGAAAGAAAAAAAAATTTCCACACAAAATACGAGTACCATAAATAAATACAAACTGTCAGTAGAAGCCTATGATTCATGAGAATAGTTCCACGAGAAAGTAAAAAAAAAAGTCTATTTCGAGTTGATAGATGATGGATTGAATGACTGACAAAGCTCAGTAGACAACAAAATATTAGTGTGTATTAGACGTATTGCATGACCTGAAGGCTAATAATACTAACCAGATGTCTAAACCAAATTAATTAGGATAATGATGAAAATTTCAGTAAAACAGTTCAAATGGATTCAATCTTGAACTTTCTTGAGTTTATGTATTGTCTCAAAATTCTTATTCAAATATTTCACAATTTACTTAAATTAAGTCTCAAGTTTTTTTGTAATAATGAATGAAAATTCCTAAATGAAATTCAATAATCGCAAATATATTAACAAGACAACTTCACCTAGACCTAACACTTCTAGGGTTACTGAAGGTTTCAAGCTCGGGGTAACGCAGGAGTGTTGGACTTGGGGGTTAGCGATTTCATCCAGTAAGAAAAACAACTTTGCTAAAAAAAACTCTGTTGACACGAAAGTGAGTGCAAGAGTATCAATATAACACCTTAGTTTTATACAGACTACCAACAATTCAAACATCACACAGGTAATAACTGGAATGGAATGAGATTACGTGAAATAAAACGGCATGAGGTAGGGAATGTCCAGAAATAATATTATCAAGTAGTCCGATAGATAAAAGTTACGTAAATACAAAAGTGTACATAGACACGAGAGTTTAGGACTAGTTGTATAAATAAGTACGAAGTGACCAATTGAATCTTAATGACGTACTTAGTTATTACATGATGCAATAGTTCTATCATTATATGTAGTACAAACAAGTGAAGACTTGTATGAAATTGTGTTCCCTAAATACAATTCCTTCTCCTCATTGGATTGTGCCATCTTGTAGGTTTTCTTGCACCTTTCGGATCGCCCAAGAAAATTTATCTATATTGCTTCGGGATTATCTTGATTAAGCATTAAAGTGAAGTATTGGTGTCGGAAAATCATCATTCTTTTGCACTGGATAATGATCAATTTTAACTTCTGAAAACTGGACTTAATTCATATGTATTTGATGTGTACGGTGGCTCAGTTAGCTACTTAATCTGATTTTCAGCTGCTAAGTCACAGAGTTGAAACTCCCCATACATTATTTAACTTGGACAACAAACTGCGAAGTATTTTTTTACACGTTGCATATAGTATGTTTCGAACCCAGATCGGTATAAGTATCTGTAAATGAGTTCATGTATCGTCCCATCATCTAATTTTACAATTTCTATAGTTTGTTTTACCAATAATATCCATAATTACACGTTAAATTGATATTTACCAGATGTTTTTTTTAAAGAATATCACTCTTGATATATATGTACATAGTTTTACATATAATTCAAGCTATCTAGCTTTGGTTACGAAGTGTTAATATTTTTCCTATAACGATATAACACTCAGTAAATTTTCCTGATTCATATTTCTGTATGACTGTTAGTTCCCGATTGGTTGCTGCCACTTTTAATTCGCTGATTTTCCTGTGTGCTAAAGTCATACTTTATTGTTACACATTATCTCATTTACATTTCAGTCAGCTTATATTATAACAAAAGAGTGGATTCAGTTTTTTGTTTCCGCAATGTATATTATTATACTAAGATAAGACTGGTAACTAAGAATATAATCTCATCAAACTGGATACCCGTAGGAGATACACTATATGATCACGTTACATCAGATACACGATTTACGACCAAAAATAAAGAATTTAAAAGGTACACACTGGACAATATTTTATTCCACACAATTGAAAGCAATCACTGTGATACTGTCAGAGTTCCCAGACCGAAAGCAGGTAGTTGTCTTAAGGGCCTCTTTGTACTAATATTTATGTGTTCAAATAAATTAAATAAGTTAATTTATTAACTTACAGAAGAAATATAAACGTGTTTAAGCGTTTTCATTACAAGCATACTAGACAAACAATAAAATGATGGATGTTGACCAATTCGTGATTTAGATGAAAGTACCAAAGATGGAAGATTGTTAAAAATATGATTAGTTGTAATGAATGTATACAGTAATTTGAATATACATTTTTGATAAGTTTTATGAATTGTACTGGACGACAGTTTCGAATGTGAAATCTCAGCAAAGTTATATTGCTATCAAGAATATTTAGTGAAGACAGCCAAATTAGGGAACAACGAATATATATATATATATATATATATATATATATATATATATATATATATATATATATATATATATATATATATATATATATATATATATATATATATATATATATATATAGTATTAGTATCTTTATTAATACATACTACGAAATTTGTCTAACTTAAAGGTAAAAATTAGAATCTTTCATACGGAATTACATCCAGCTAAACAGTCGATTGGTGACTTAGTGTTGGAAACACTCAACCTTTGATCCATACGTCCAAAGCTAGAATTCACGCTTCAAGTACTTCACAGTTTAGGTACCTGGGGTAGTGGTATAATTAACCCTGACAAACAAAAATTGTGCCTCTAAATGAAGTACATAAAAATGTACTTGGATGAATTTTATTAGACAGTTTAAATAAATTTGGTAATAATAAAATAAGTGGATCTGTTATCCATATTCTTAATATCGCCAATGATCACATTGTATTGGTTAGACTAAATATATGTGTAACCGGTCGGATGAAAATTCAAACTGCATGGATTTGTAAAGAAGGTCTAACACACGACTGTAGATGTAATAAGTTCAGCATATTTATTTTTTTGGCCAACAACTTCAATAGTATTGTTGAAAACTTAATAAGCGATGTTTGAGTAAGGTGACAGAATTTAACCATAGTTCAAAGATGAAACAAAACCGATTGAAGGCTTTGAATCATAATAAAGCATATTCAAAACCTGTAAAAATTTCACTGAAACTTGACCATGTAGTCTGCACCTACTTACTTGGCTCAATCTAAATTACAATGACTCAATGCACTTGGGCTCGGCCACATCTAGCTTTCTTTCAACATATTCGTAACAGACAACATGGCCCATCGAGGTATTTGGGGGGTGGCCATACGTATATTTCCCAACTATTTCAGTTGATAAAGATTTACTACCTCATCAAATGACTTCTCATTCTTACATGGTACACTGTCACTAACCTCGGCATTACTTACTCGGTGGTCCGAAAATACAGGAGCAATGCTTTAAAGATATTTATGATCGAATACTAGTAACCTACGAATATCTTACATTCTTAGTGGCTATATTTGACACCCATAGAGTAGAACAGGGCAAACGGCCGCACAGAAAGCTCGTTATTCCATGAACCATTCCTTTTCAATAACTACATTTCCTATGAAAAACTACACATCAGAAATTTGTTGAAATTTATTCATTTATTTGAACACATAAAAATTAGTAGGAGGGGGAACCAAATACATAGCAGTTATCATTGATTTGCGTGAGGACTATGATACTGCCCGGGTGGCCAAACCGAAGTATGTGGTTTTCTTAGTAGGCCACACCCGTAGCTTTTTACCTGAAGGTCTAATCCACAAGGCAGTGAATTAACGCTAGGAGATACAGTCTCGTGGTGACCAGTGGCCAACAATTGGTTCATATGTCATTTGTTCCCTCAGGATTCCGGAATCCATGTGCACTATTGGTTTGGAATAAGAATTTTCCAACCTCCCTATATGGATCCTCCATATTCACCAAAGGAACGATGTTTTAAATTACAGTAAGCTCAAGATTAAAAGAACAATATTTGTTTCAATACGGCTTAGTTAGAAGCATATCAACTTATAGCTACAGATAGTGATCATGATTATCATACAAGGATGGCGACTAAAAGGTCTGCATTTATTGGAAAGGTTTGGTCCAATAGTCAATGACTTAATGCAAAAATATGCTATATATGTACCAACTACACATCAGTCGATGATTATACACGTCTTTACACTAATAGTTCTATCCATAAAAAGATTTGATAGAATGCGATTAATTTAGTAACATATTTATGATTTAATACTAGTAGTGCAAATACACCTTCAAATTTCGAATTAATGTTTCGTCTAAGAACCCAATCTTTTTAATAAAAGTTAATTCATTCTTGTATTCATAAAAATCACGAATCCATTTTCTTACAAATTTGCATTACTGTGTGACATTTATTATCTTTTGGTTGGATGTTACCACTTCCATTTGGCATTTTTCTCTGTCTTAGTTTTGTGCCTGGTTACTAAATATGTAAAGTTGTTCCTCTCAAATTTTCTCTAAGTGGAATATCAGGTTTCCTTCAGTACTGCTGTCTTCTTTCTTGGTTCCGTGAGCAGAAACCATTAGTGTAAGGTTCTGTGTGTTGGTTGCTAGTTCGTCAAGTTTGCAATAGATTTCATTTGTATTAGAATAGCCTCGATTATTCATTATTAGCGGCTATTGTAGGCTAAAACGGACAAATTGCAAGATAAAACAGTTTCACAACGGTTATTCTGTATCTCCGACTGTTTGATGCGCAAACGGGAAACTAAGTAGAAAATGTCGAAAGTTCTTAATGAAACACAAAACGTAGAAATTCTCCTACATATTTTACCCACTTTTAAACTGTCAACTAACAATGTGAAACTCAAAAAGAAAGTAACAGTTTACAGTAAACATAAACAACTCTGTCTGAAGCCCTTCTAGAGTTACTGCCCGTGACAAGCTATGAAAAAATAGGGTTGTCCGGTATGCAGCTACCAAATCCATCCCATAAAAAGAAACTTGATAAAAAAACTCTAGTAAGTAAACAAAAGTAAGGAATAAATAGAGAAGCAAAACGCAAGTAAAAATTGTTTTTCATAACAAAAAACGCAAAAAAAGCAGACTTACTTCATGAAATTCAACTTTTTCTTGAGCAATAGCATTTATGTTAAGTGATGAAGTACAAGGAGAAAGTATTGAACTTGAAAGATCCTTATTACTAGAGCTATCAATAGCAGTGGGGAGAGCACGATCTGTTAATTCACGTTGATGATGGACAGGTGATTCCACTGAAGATTGTTTCATTATATTTGTAATTAATTCGAGTTTATCTATAAGTATAAAAAAGGAGTATGGACATATACAGTTGACTGATTAGTCACCTTAGGAATTGATTGGAAACACCCGACCAATTCACAATGTGACCATTAGTCTAAGCGACTCGATATTGCATGCATTATTGTTGAGATGTAAAGTAGTTGGAGACAGGGCACACTGACTGTCATTAAAGCTTACTAGTAATCTTGAAACCACTAATTCACACTTTGGGATTCAGCTTTACTGTCGTAACCAAATAAGTTATTTGTGCCACGACTAACTGAGTTTCCTACCACCTAACTTCAATCACCTAACAAGAGTATATACATAGGTATACTTTTTTTCTATGCTGTTTAACAATGTAGTAGAAAAGTGCTTTACTGAATAGTAAATGAAAATTCAGTACTGAAATGAATAGTTATGAAGCACAAAAAAGGGGTAAAAGGAAATCGACCTACTTTTTCATGATGTTCCACGATCAGTTTAATATATACTATTGCTACCTCCTTGTATTTCATTTTTACTTTTTAGTGCTCAATCACTGTTACTCTTCAATTTCTCCTTTATATAGAATAGTGAGTTTTGTAATCCCTTCATAGGTTTTATGATGATGGTGGGAATCAATATACACTTCATTTTACAATGTCCTGTATATATCTCCAAATCTTTTTTGTCGTTAATCCCTTCAGCTTTTCTGAAGGTGTAACTACACATGATCAAAAACCCAATGGCTTTATCACTTTTTTACGTAATCTAATTCCATTTCAATGTGGCATAATAGAACATAACTAGTCACATCGTTCTTTCAGTCAGTCATTCAGTCAGTCAGATACAACGTAGGACCAGGCACATATGTGCATCGGTTCAGGTTGCCATACCGCATCAACACAACAAGATGAACACCGGATTCACAAAAGTAGTTAATTCAGAGGTGGTAATATATAAAAGAAAGATTGCAATAAGGATATAGTACAGGAAGAAAGAATTAATTCGTAGAAAGAAAGATATGAAGCGATTTTAATCTCTTAGTTTAAGGGAAGACAGAGAGTGTATACACCTACGCCATTGTGATCGATTCTGAGCCATATCACACAGAGTCTCCAACCATTGGTTACGATAGTCACGCGGACCCCAACCAAGTAGTCTGCATCTGCCAACATGGCTCACACCAGAAGTTAGTGACTTTGTGAACTGATGCCACATTTTGGTTTGGCTGCCCCTAAGTTTCTTCCAACCATCCCGAACACCAGTTAGCATTGCACGTCGTGGTAATCGGTGTTCAGGCATACGTAACACGTGGCCCAACCATCTCAGTCGATGAAGATTCACAACCTCATCAACTGATTTACCATCCTTTCCTAATATCATACATCTAACCTCACTATTACTTACCCGGTGATCCCAGCAGACGCCAGCAATATTTCTAAGGCATCTGTGGTCAGATACTAGCAGCTAACGAGTATCTTCTACTGTTAATAGCCATGTTTCGCTGCCGTAAAGTAAAACAGAACGGACTGCTGCGCAGTATATTCGACCTTTTATTAATAGACGGATATCTCGCCTTCGCCATAGGTGACGTAAGTTGGCAAAAGCCAAGCGAGCTTTTCGAATCCGTGATGTCGTTCTTTACCTTTATGCATATATGGTGCCGTTATGAATATCAATAATTTCATTTGAAATGAACAGATAGTGATATACTATAGATAAATCCACAATTTCATTACAATTAAATGATTCTATGTTGAATTTTATATGCTTACTTTTTTCTAATCAATTGTATCTATGCCCTATGCTCAATAAAACCAAGTCGGAAAAAAACCCTGATAATTAGTTCAAATTTCAGGTTTATTCGACGCTTGCCATTGTGTGAATCGATCTAATTAATATTAGCCTTTTGTTTGATATGATCTCTTTTAATGCTGACATCCTAATACACTGGCCGTTAATGGAATAAATCACACTCATATAATACATATTGACAATCAATGATTTTCCGACTTGATCTTATAGCTTGACATGATCAATTTTACATATATAATGATTAATAAACACAGAAGATTGTTAAAGTCATCATTTTTATTGAATAATTCGAAAACAATGCTATAGTGATTAATAGGCTTGAAGATTTCCTATATGGGGCCTGATAAGTTCTGCTACCGATAAGCCAATCCTATTCGGTTCTTATAACCTTAACTACTTCGACATATCAACTGGGAGAATAGAGAGAAAAATTGTGAGTAAAAACTTTACTCCGAAGTTTATGTACAGGAAAAACGAGGGTATTTATAGAGTAATACATGACCTTGAGTATCTTGAAATTTCTGGGATCATGCTAAATATTAGTATGGCTAAACATTCAAGCAAAACTGCGACACGTGGTTCTGGATTCCTAGATGTCTCTGGAAAGTGTATATTCAACGATAATCGGATTAAGTGTTTCTGGGTCTGTAAAGATTTTGACAAAGGATATTTTAGGACTCTCACGACAAAGCCCAGAAATTTTTTTGCTTAAATACATATATTTATACTGGTACAGTATAAAACTATTACACAGTGTATAACATGAAAGTGATTATTATAATGTTAAGAATTGAAATAGAAATATGACAGATGAATTTAATATCAAGAGATCACGATGTTTACTCAGAAAGATTCAAATGTAAAACAAGGTTTTATTCTAATGTCCCAAATGAAGTAATAATTTTAATGGTCTTTAAGTATGTACCTATCAATAGAATTCTATAGAAACACCTACATCTCCACTTCTTATATTCAAATTTTTGAGCGCTTGCATGTATTGTTGTAACAAGAGGTAGATAGGCATGGCATTGTAAATACCAACTGGAAACAAATCATAACCCAATGAGACTAGATTTTATAAACGAATGAATTAAGATCTGAGATAGCAACTCTTGGATTTTCATACAGCTGCAAAACATGAAAACTTAAACTTTAAAACCCATAGCCTTAACCATAGCCAATAGCAATAAAGGAATTTTTAAAAATCTATTTCGATCATCTAAGGGGATTCAAGAAGACTGATCATTCATATATCTATACGAATGAATTTCAATGTCATTGTTTATCTAATTAACAGAGAAAGTAACCTGTAGAACATACTTTGTGATACAATATTGTTTCCCTCTTTTAAAAATTATTGATTTACAAAAGTTGTTATCTAATCAGGCTAAAAAAAATTAGTTGAGAATCTATCGTAGCAATTTTAACCTTATCTGTATTCTCTGACCACTATTACTGTGTAGAGTAGACTTTTAAACGAAACAAGAATTTATGGACAAACCAATGAAATCAAAGGTAGCACCTCTTGGATGTTGGTGAGAAATTAATTCATTCAAATGATCAGATGGTATTTTGGCATTATAGGTGATGTAAATTACTTACTTACGCTTGTCACCCCTAGTGGAGGAGCAACATTTTTCATTCAACTCTGAGCTAGACAATCCTTTCCAGTTATTATCCACTCTTTTCATGTTTGCTTCTAATGTTCGACGCACTGTGTATTTTGGCCTTCCTCTTTTCTGCTTCTCTTCAGGATTCCAAATTAGCGTTTGCTTGGTGATGCAATCTAATGATTTCCGTAATGTATGTCCTATCCACTTCTAGAGTGTTTTTCTTAATTTTCTCTTCATTTTGGAAGTTGATTTGTTCTCTCTTACTGTAAGCTGTTGCTGATGGTATCCGTTTAAAGGACATTAAATATCTTGCGTAAACAATTGTTTATAAATACTTGTACTTTTTGATGATGATTATGATGATTGTAGTAGTTCTTTAAAGTTCGTAATACGGATTGATAAACCGTTTTTTTTTGACACTAGTAATTAGGTGAGTTACATTAATATAATTTAAATATCCTACATAAATTAGTCTCATTAATACTCTTTCTTTTTTTATTTCAAAATAATAATAATAATAATAATTTTGTAGCTTACCTGATTCAGATCGATGAGGTAGATCAAATCGAATTGTACCATTTAATAGATTTCTATAGAAATAGAACATTAAAATAGTCTGATCAAAAAAGGAAAAAAAATATTAGTGAAACCCAACACAAATTACATGAATCATTTATATATATAATGAAATGTAAATACAGTTTGTCATGAGATAACAAAAAAAAGGTATAACAGAAGATCAATAAAATAACTAAATGTATAATGTATTATTCTCATATACATTGGTATGCATTTATGAATGCTGGAGTTAATTGAACAATAATTATCTAATAAATATGATAAGTCTATGTGAAAGATTCAAATTATAAATGGTAAAATAGATAGACTATGTATTGTTGTCACATGTTAGTTAGTACAATCTTTAAATTTACACTTGCATAGTTGACAATACAAATCTGCTACTCATCAATTTTTTTATAGTTTAAGCGACAAATGATTTATCGTTAAGACGAATAAACCAACAGATATATACAGATAAACGAGAGAAAGAGAGAGGGAGGGAGAAGGATGGTGGGACAAACATATGTTAACTAACTCAGACATGATGATTGGTAGAAATACAATGTATAAACTTTGAGCAATCATTGATATTTTCAACACATTTGGATTGTGATGGAAAAATAGTTCCGGTGATAATGTCTTCAATTGGGACAATAGACACACACAAAAAATCAATCTGTATGGATTTCAAACAACTGAAATCGACTGAATCGATCGTTTTTAAAACGTATGCTCTAGGATATGTCTCAATTTAATTTATTATATCACACTCTGAAAAAAGTTAGATGTAATTACCAATACTAGTAATGATAAAGTCAGTGGTCTTGAGTGCAGTTAGAGGTATGAAGGCGGTTTTCACTACTTGGTTGCCCACATCGTGGAAGGGTTTTTCTAGAGGTACCTGAAAAGCAAATTGGGTTAAAGTTTGTCTTGGCGACCTAAGAGCGTGACCTCAGTGCCCAAGGGACAACCGTTTGAGGCCGGTCACATACGACCTTTTTGGTAAGTAATTGTCATGTCAGATCCATAATTGTTGGGACATAATCGTCGGAGGCGGAAATTTGTGAGACAAAATGAGACGTGAATTTCTAGGGTCAGGCTTTTGTAGTCGCATCCTTCCTTGTGGGAAGACAGTATCACTGTAGTGCTGTTTATCTGAATGAAACACCTTACTGCCATCACATCTCTGTACAGTCAGCAGTAGGACTTCGCCATAGGACCTTGGGTTTGCTGCATTAAGTAGTACCATTATCCAACCAACCTGTCTGACATGGTAGGACCTTGAGGAACGGTTTTTCCAGCCAGTATAACCCGATCAGTTCATCACGATGGGCAAGTTCGACCACCACCTCAAGGTAGCAGAAATTTTTATTCTATATAATACTACTATTGAAGTAACTCTTATGAATTTGGTGATCATCTTGTTTCGCTAATGAAGTATGGCAACCTGGACTGATGCATATATGTGTCTAATCCCACGTTATAACTGACTGACCGAATAATAAAGTCAAAATGACACTATGTTACATATATGACATCAGTTTTATTATTGGAGAATATAGTTCGACAAGGTAATATATTTATGAAAGAATTCAAGTGCCCTAGAAATACACTACAAAAACGATCATTTGACTGCTAATTGATGTTCATGCAGACAAAGATGAAGAGGGCGTCCGTTTTGTCCGATGTAGTGTTTTTCGTAGTTGGCACAATTTATTTTGTAGACGCCATGACATGTCCTCACTTATATCACAACTGCGGACACACATTCGACTGGAAAAATGTTGAAATGTTGAATACAGGCAATTCCAAAAATATTAGAGAATTTTTAGATGCTTGGCAGTCAGGTCAATTAGCAACCAACAAGCACATTGAAATCGATCCAATTTTACAACCAATCAGGAAAATTATGGACAAACATAGGACAAAATTCAAATCAATGGGAGACACGAACAAAACAAATAAGTAAACAATGACACGTTTAAGGTTAACAAGAACCAGTCAACGTCGAGATCTACAGGATAAGGTTTGAACCATATGTGGAGAAATTCGATTACTACACTACATGAGACCTAAAAGTATTGGATGTAATGGTCCTTAGAGGAGTTAAGGATTTACACTGTAGAGTAGTTCATCATATTAGGACAAAAAGACTTCCAAGCGCTTCCTGTATTTTTTGATAATTGTTTAACTAAAATCAATTCATAATGTACAGTATATCCTGTAATTTAACAGTTCAATGCAAATTAATAACAGTATGACAACAGAGAAAATTTCTATTCAGTTCGAAGAATTGAACACATTGAATCTACACAAATTGCTTAAAGGAAAATTAAATCAATGTAGAATAGTGAATTCAAGTAATCACATGTAAAAAATGTAAAATTGTGGTATGGAGACGAGTTTATTACTATTAAAAAATTAACTTGAAGTTTCGCGCAAAAACTCAAAAATAAATAGGTAAGCTGTACAATAGAAATATCTTTTTGTAGCGCAGTATTTAGGTTAGACAGGGACAGGATGTCAATAAATGATAACAAGTCAGCTAGCTGATAAGATAATAAATCTTCATCAATGTGTTAGGTAAATTGGACAACCGCCTTCTTCGACAAGCGATGCTTGCTAGTGAAGAGGTAGACTATGAGAAATTTTGAAGTAGAAAACGCGGCATCAGTTCATAAAGTCATTGATTATTAGTCTTAATCGTGTTTGTAGATGTAAATTACCTGGGTTATGTTTCACCTGACAGCAGTGAGCATTACTGTTTTGAGACGTTGGATGACATGGTTCAGAATCTGGTTCAATCGGTCTTCCTTTCAGTCTACCTACAGTAAATTGAATGCGACTGGATCGCGAAGTCTCTTCAACATTATGATTGAGTAACTGATAATCAGTCACCAAAAACGATAAACTTCCTAAAAACCATTAAACTCTAACAGGTTTGATTACTTTTGTTAACAAATATAACTGATTTGCACAAACTCTCTATTCATTGACTTTTAAAAGTGGCTTCAAAGCCACGAGAGGATTTTTGAGAGTAGCCTAAAGCTACAGTCCTTAAACTATAGTTTTATCATGTACAACAGCAATTTACTAATCATACACAAAGGTATGCAGTTTAGTCATTAGTTTCTATTTATTAGGAAAACGCTTTTGATAAAATTTTAAAACAAAAACCAACATGAAAATAATCAAAGGAATGGGAAAAATGCAAAGATACTAACCGATTATGAATGATATGTATATCCAAACATATTTGATCCATTAAAACTTTGTGTGGACCGATTTTCTCTTTTATAGAAAGGGGATCTATTCAAGTGAAATGAAATTGAAAAGAATAACAACCATGATAAGATTAATAATAGATCAACAATGTAGAACGTGGTGTGCATTAAATCAATTTGCCAAAACACAATACATATAGTAAGAAGAAATTATTAAGACAAATCCGAGAGTAATAAAAATAATAACAGTATCAGCAGTAATAGTAGAAAACATTGGGTTAAGATTGAAGAAAGAATAGTATAAATTGATTTAAAGACTCATGATTTAAGAGAAACTAAAGACTGAATGTACCCGGATCACTAACCAATGCCTACAACAATTATAAAGACTTTATATCTACCAATATGGCTGAATCCAATATAATTGATCAACGAATACTGTATCTCAAATTTCCCCACTCCAAACATTCGTTCAACTAACTTCTATATCAGTTAGCATTGGAGTCGAGGTAGATTTTGACTGAGAATACGTGATACATGTTTCAAATATCTCAGTGAATGGAAAACTACAAAGTCATTAACAGATTTCCAATCATTACCTTGATTACTTGGTAGTTACAGGATATATATCTAGAGCTTTACGGAGAAATAATTGTAACTAAACACTAGTAACCTACGAATGTCTCCTAATTTTAACGGCCCCCAAATGCCCTGGTACGGCCGAGAGTAGGGAGTGTCAGCTCACCCTCTCCAAACGCTCTCACATGGTCACGTGCATACAACCACTGCCAGGGAAGTCCTACCCACTGCCTTCTCGCGGTGAGAGTGTAGTTCACGAAATTGAGAGGACAAGAAGCGAGTGTCCGGCAGTTTAACCGGGTTGGCGGACACGGAAAGTCCACATAGGGCAGTTGGAAAATCCTCATATCAAGCCACTGGTGCACATGGGCTCCAGGATCCTAAGGAACCAAATGGCGTATAAACCAATCGTTGGTCACCGGCTACCATGGGACTGCATCTTCTCACGTTGCTCCACTGACTTGTGGATTAGACCTTTAGGTGAAAGACTAGGGGTGCGGCCCCCTAAGAGAACCCCCTGCCTCGATTCGGGAGCCCGGACAGTGTCCCAGCCCCCATATAAATGGAATGATTTATGTGACGCATATCTATTTGGTGCCTCCTTGTACCAATGTTTTTGTATTTAAATAAATAAATAACCGTCATATTTCATAACTCATAAAAAAAAATGCAAAGAACTGCTGTGCAGTAAACTAAATAGTAATAACAAATACATATTAACATTGTTGTCAGTTAAATAGAGAACGATGAAAACAGCTGGCACAAATGAATAAAGGAATAAATCAACTTGAATTATGTATAACTCAATCAGTAAAAACCAAACAGTACAAAGCAATAACCAATTAGTTATTTTGGAAACGATCATTCAAACAGTAACTGTGATATTAGAGTGAGAGCGCACACAGATTAACTGTTTAATTCTAATTTGAAACTTTTCAATAATAATCCATAATAAATACTGTTAGTCAAATTACACAACAAAACAGAGAAAGCAAGAAAGTCAAAATGCGGGGAAAAAAGTGACGATATTCAAATAACAGAAGTAATGATTGACTATAGAGATGAATTTAGTGGAAATAATCTACATCGCTGTGTATTTTAGTCACTATCTACTCAGTTTGATCAACTAGTGTGATTTCTGTCAAAAGTTCTTGTATTGTTTCAGGTTTGTCAGTCAGTCAGCTACAAAGTAGAACCAGGCAAATAAATACATCGGTTCAAGTTTCACTAACTCGTTATCACAACAAAATGAACACCATATTCATAGTAGTTACTTCAATGATAGTAATATATAAAAGAAAGATTGCACATAAGAATATGATACAGAGAGAGATAAGGTCATTTTGATCTCACAGTTTAAGTAAAAACAAAGAGTGTATACACCTACACCATTGTGATCAATTATGAGCCATGTCACCCAGAGTCACCAACCACTGGTTGCGATAGTCGCGCGGACCCCAAACCAAGCAGTTTGCATCTACCAACATGGCTAACACCGGAAGTTAATTACTGTATGGACTAATGTCACGTTTTGGTTTGGCCGCCCATAACTTTTTTTCAACCGTCTCCAATATTAGTCAACAATGCGCGAGCTAGAAAAAGTTGACCCAAAAAATGTACACGTTGCCTTATCTCATGGATTTTCGTCTACGGCAGTTAGGTCTCGACAAGTACGCAGCTGACATGAAAATTACTCACAAAAAGGTCGTATGTGATCGGCCCCAAACAGTTGTCCCCTGGGTACTGAGGTCACGCCATCAGGTCACTAAGACCACCCCTAGACCATTTCCCTTTTCAGGTACCTCTAGAAGAACCCTTCCACGGTATGGGCAACCGGAAAGTGATAACCGCCCTCATGCCTCTAACAGCACTCAAGACCATTCACTGTTTTAGGTTTGTAAACTTTAATTACATTTGAAGCAGTGATGTATTAGTGTTATATTTAGGTGCCAATTGGATTTTGTGTACCTGGTACTCTATAGCTATGAATTAATTGGATCGCTCACTCAACTGAACCATTACTTGTTTCCAACACCTGCTCAGGTATTAGATCACCGACGCAATTTCTTCCATAACAGCCCCACTAACCTTTTTCATCTAATCTCTTATTAACAAGTATGAATATCAACTAGCTGTTATGCAATACTGATTTGCTTTAAGTCAACATTTTCTACTTTTATGACCCATTATTGATCGCAACCATCCTAAAGATTGTTAACTAGATAGAATTTTTAGAGTCAACTAACTGTGGAATGAGTAACCGTGTAACAAAAATTAAACGAACATCAACAAAATTGTGTTTTCTCTTGTGATCCTTAATCTGCTGTGGCTTGAAATATCATGTTTTATTGCCCAATTAAGGTTGCGATTGTTGATTAGTTCACCGGTGCGACAGGACAGGTCATCATCTGTCGAATGGCAGGTAAACATTGAGATTTTCATTTTTCAGTTTAATTAGGATAAGTTAAGCGGTTAGAGGTAATCAGCAGGGAATTCTGTGCATACGTTTCTTGGATGTTGGCACTTGTTACTATTGTGAACGACATTTGGTGATCTGTAGTATTCTGTTTACTACGACCAAACACCTAATATCTCAACATAATGCACACTATGTTGAGTAATTTAAACTAGTGGCTACACTGCAACTTGATCAACACAATTCGATCAACACTAAGGATAAGACAAACATAACATGGATCACTACTCAATGACCAGTTAATTGTAATAAGAATATAAAGAGAGTAGATAGTTCTGCTTTGTGATCACATAATGTAGGGGACAATTTTATGTATAAAATTTATATTGGACAGGGACATTTAACTGATTAATTACTTTAGTTGGCAGAACAAACAGTAATCCAATATAACTATGGGGTCACTGAATAAGTTTTCTTCCAAGAAAAAACAAAAAAGATTAACTACTACTTATACGACATAATTCTCATATGGATACGCACTAACCTAAACCAATTTTAGCTTTCCTTGAAGAAGGACCTAAAGCAAACAAGAGACACGGTGTTGTCAATAGAAATTCTCCAATAGAAATGATGCAGCATATCTTCTTCGATACTGATAACATTGATGACGATGAAGAGGACAACAATTTTTCGTCATCACTTGAAACAAGAACATCTTTTACAACGGCCAATTCAAGTGTATACAGTACCTAAACGGAATAAGAACGAAGATTATTAGAACATGTAAACACTTTTATGTCAATGTGAGCAAAGTTAGTAATACTGTTAGGACCGATAAATTGGGAACAGGTACCGAAAACAAAAATCAATGTAAATGGAAAATTTCAAGTCAGCATTCAAGATGTAAAAAAGTAATAAATATCCTCAAGACCAAAGAACACACTACGTCGGGAAACAGACAGACATGAGAAAAATGAACAACAATTGGATAGAACTGGAAAGGAAGACCTAGGACAGAGTGGGTTGGAGAATGCTGATCGGCGGCCTATGCTTCATTGGGAGGAGTAAGCGTAAGTAAGTGTACCTAGAATTATTCGTAATTGTTTTGGGTTATTTTTACTGTTTACATTTATGACTGAATTTCGATTCATTTACGTTGACACAAGGCGACGGATTGTAGCTAAAATTGTGACTAAAAAGCAATGTCAGGAGATCCGTTAATGATATAAATATATATTATCAAACACGGATCAAAATTCCACCCTGAATATCAGCAGCGAGAAATGGAAAACGAACTAATAATAAACATCAAACCTACTGAACAAAGTATTGACTTTTATAGCTCAGTAAACTGATGAATAACGTAACGGTGTTTGAAGTGCTAACTACTGGGTTTAGATAATAGTGTGGATAACAACAGTGGAATACGGATACAACAAGCTAACGAGTCCTGAGGATATGACAAAACACACATCCTGTATTTCACTATTAGTCATAATCTAAAAAGTATTACAACTATAGTTTACAGAAATCCTACCATTTATATAGAATGAAGAGGAAAGCTTTTAAAAGTATAAACTAACATTAGACAGTAAATTCGGTGTGTATGATAAGAGTACTGCTAATGATCAGTTTTTTTGTACACAAAAATGAATCCTGTCGTTAAATGATCTGCTTATTAAATGAAACGGATCAGTCATAAAAAGTAAACAAATTCGATCGATGTGATTATTTGAATTGTTTATTTATAATACTTGGGTTCAATAAATCCCACTTCATAAAACATTTTCACTAGATACGATTTTGTACTCCATTGACACAAGTAAAAAAACAGGAAACAATCTTATTTCACTGTTAATACGTTTGTGATGAATAACTATAAAGATCAGAGTACATAATTCCGTTAGACCTTATTAAGGAAGTCAACAATTTCGATTAGTTGTAATAGATGGCTATTTCCAATTACGTCAAAACTGTTTTAAGATAGTTGAATACAATCTAATAATTAAGTGAGCTAATAAACCAGGTCAGATGTAATTAATAGCATTAAATCTTACACGAAGTTCTCAGCAGATTACAAATTTTATTTACAACAAAACGTCTGAGTTAAAAACTAGCAAAAAGGTTTGTAAATATTTAAATTCTTACTAGAGAAGTTTTATAAGTTAGTCTAACACCGCTTAGTTAATACGTTTTTTCATTCCCTAACAATGATTTAGTCGTCAAGGTATCCGACTTTTAACCAATAGGCCGCAGGTTCAATTCCCGCTGCATTTATTTCGAATTGGGCAACCGGGTAGTAGTATCACTAGTCCTCAGTGTAAATAAAAGTGAGTACACGAGTCTTTATTTAGTGATTTGCATCGATTCTCTAACGTGGAACTAGATACGGTGTAAACTTTGAAAGCACATAACCTATATACACAATAGGTCTATATTTTAAAACGCGGCTTAGTTCGACAGTCAATAACTTCATCGACTAATGTTGTGTTTTGGTTAGGCTACCCTTAGGCATTCTTTCAGCCAGCTCTATGTTAACCGGCATAACACAAGTGTAATTGCAACGCATAGGTATGCAAAACATATGTCTCAAACAACTTAATCGATGAAGAACCACAGCTGCATCAACCTACTGACCATAAGGAAAGCCCCGAATGTGACATCGGTATTTTTTCATATATATTTCATACAGAAAACGTTTCTGAGAAAAGTTTGCACAGACAAGCATACGAAATATTTAATACTGACACTATATTCAAAATGATACACGAAATTTCACCATCTAATTGATTAAAAAAATTACAGACGACTACAAAACTCAACCAGAGAATTTTATTCTAAGTAATAAGACATTGGAATAAGTGTGCACGGACATTCAAACTAGGTCCGATTAACAAGTATTAAAATACATCTCTTTGTCTGAGTCCGAGGTAAAATTTTATATATCCTGATGTTTGTTTAGATAATAATTCGATTTTAGTCATTAAACCTCTGTACTTATTTCAGTCACCTAATTTGAATATTGAGTTTAGGTAACCATAGGAAGTGTGTATCATAACTGAATTTGACTGCAGAACACAATGCAAACCAACAGAAAAAGTACTAATTTAATGATTAACTATAATTTCCTTTAAAAAGAAAAACTGTATGTAAGCACATATACATTTATGCTTACTCTTCGTGTTACATCAGTGGCAATTAGAAAAGAGGCGGATTGATCAACAGCTAATATTATGCTCGATTTCGATAATGAAATATTTAAAGATTTTAGTAAATCTGTACTAGGTATCACAGAACAAAACTGTATAACTTGTAGACATGACCAATCGGAACATGACCAAAGACGTATTTCACGATTAGACTCTGCACCGGTTAAGAGATAACTCCATGTTATACTAAATATTAGAAAAAAAAGATTAAGTTAGATAGCAAAAACAAATTTTTCATATCATCATCAATTGGTCAACCAGCATCCTGTCAACCAATGTTATAAAAAGCTGGAACATGTTCTTTATAACAAATCTTATAAACCTACTCTATAACCATGGGCTAAGGCATTCATCAGCACTTATTGAATAAGACAAATGTCTTAATTTTCTCGTTTAGTTATATATTGACTTATTATGAGCGTGATTGTGATAATGGGGTAAATAATGAAACCTATGGAGCTATTTATCCGATTGTTATTTACTACATTGTTTAATCAGTTAACTATAGAATTGCATTTCTACATTCCTCTTATCGTAAGCTTCCGGTGGATCCATCAACTGTCGCTATACACTTTACTATCCCTTAGTTATAACTAATTAATTGTGCATTGTCTGGTTCATTCTCTACCATTTATGATATGATTGTGTTTAAAGTATGATTTTTTTTATTTGCTGTGCTGTGTAGTCAATCATTTCAATTATATTATTGCATGAGTTTTGAGTCATGATTGAATTGGATAATAATGGAAGCTGGTTGCTGACTTTTCTCTTGGACCCAAGCTCGGAAATAGAAGGCTTGAGTATAAAGGACTAATAGAAGCTAAACTTGATTCGGCCTAGGATTAACTATGACGGTTCGATGTGTAAATGGTCAAATCCAGGGTGCTAGACTGCAAACGGAATAGTAGACACGAGATAGAGAAAATCATAGTCGGAATTCCGATTAATGCATTTAACGCGTGACATCGATTATTGTCTTAAGTTACAGTAATTATCATCATTATTATTTAGATCGCATATTCCTTTCCCCATACAGGAAGATTTTCCACATACACATAAGTAAAACTCAGCTCATTTACATTGTATAATGTAGGGTTTCTGTGTCTCGAATATTCTGGTTCGCTGTTTTACTCCAAGTTAACGTTTTAACTTTATCAATAATTAAGTATGCCGACTTCTTATTATTTCTTAAATTCTGCTGTATGCTGTAAATTTGGGCGGTTTACAGGAAGGTGGTGATCAGAAACCTTGAAATCGAATGATGAATTCATTTTATGTTACAAATTCCGCCCTTATTTTGTTAGATAGTATATTAGTTTCAAAGTTTTGAGTGTATTTCTCTTGATAAACACATAAGCAAGTAATGAATTTAGGCTCGAAAATTTTAGTATATTATCGATAAACACTAGAACCTAAGATTCAGTATACAATATTTAGATCTTGTGTGCGATTGAAAACTTCATTTCTCTATAGGAAAAATCGAACGAGATTACGTTAATAGAATCAAATCAAAGTGTTTTACTTATGATCAATAATGGGATAATATTAATAAAAAAGAATATATGAATTGACTGAACAAAGGAAACGAAATGTACCTTTCATCATTATGTAACACGTTGTCCAGAAATATTAAAGCATACAATGGTAGTCCACCATGAGGAGAAAATACATGAATTGGCCTAAATTATGTGAATATATATAGCAAACGAAACACAAACAAATGAATCTCTTTTTCACTATGTTGGTATAGCTCTAGGAGTATAAGAATGAGAAAAAGTACTTTCAAATTTTAAAAAAAACTAACTACGCTTAAAATGAGTAATACTTTATTAGTTAGTAAAAAAAACTCGCTGAAACATGTATTTCAGTTGTTATTATGAGATGTGAAGATTATTGAATTTGAAGTTTTACAACACAAACTCAGTAATCTGAAGGTTAGGCGCTTGTTAAGAAGCCTAGAGGTCCTAAACTCCACCTATTATGAGGTCGTAAATGGCCAAAACTGAGGAGTCCCATATTGGGACGGAACAGTTTTTTAGTATACCTCGATGTTCAATAGCCTAACTAAAGTCTGTGATGTGAAACAAAATATACAGTTGTTATTACCTAGCATAGCTCAACAGTTGTTTGACTAAGTATAACAGCGACAGCTTATTGATTACGGAATTAAACTTTTACTAATTTAGTGGTCATTTGAATCCCGTCCCGATGTCTACTTTAATTTGGAGAATCAATTACCGATACTAGTCCTTGAATACAAATATTATGACTTGAAAAAGGGTATATCAAACCAGTATTTGGTAGATAAGTTACAATTTTACAATGCTTAATAAATTAGATAGGTAGAAAGTTGAATATGTCAAGGATAAATTAAGCTAACCTATAAACAATCAGAGTATTATTCTAGGCTATAACGGCTGAAAACATCGGAATATAAGAGGAAGTGAAGTTTTCAACGATATCCACGAAGTCGATTGATGAATTTTCAAAGTGACTATCCTAATAAGGTTAATGAGAATGTTTGTAGTTAACTTTAATAACCATTGTGATACTAGACGTTCCATTGTCAAATAAAATGCAAGGATACATTAGGACATCAACTCAGCTACATTGCGAAACCAGTAAAAAATGGGAAAATCTTTTTTTACGCGAAAAGGACTAAAACACTAGAGTATGAAAGACGATACTATCTAGCCACTCTTAGATATTTCTATTCCGTGTCATAAAATCATGTTTAGAATAATCTAACAAACACCCCTCTAATTACGTCAGTTGAGAAGCTTACACCAACCGGTTTACCTAAGGATCTGTGATCTTAAAACCACTTATTTAGTAATCATTACGGATTAATTTGATGCGGTTTAGGCAATAGCAGTTGGATGAAACCGACTTAAAGATTATCATATTGGATAACGAGTTCAAATCCCACGAAAGGCATGTCCTCATAAGATTCCGAAAATACGATGGTAAACTAGCACAAAGCCTAGGTCAACAGGGATTCTTATCAGTTACTCTTCTAAGATGACCAACAGAACCCCAGACAGGCAACATCAAATTTGTTGCACCAAAATGTTGATTCCAACGTAGCCACACACTACACAACATGATAATAGTGGACCGATTAGTATAAAGTTTAAATATATCTATGTACAATCAAATAATAGCAGGCACTAGGAAATGATAGATAGTCCGAAAGAACAAACTAACCTCAGTTTATACTTCATATTGCCAGCCATTCGACTAACTAAGGAATATATACAGACTTTACCGTCCAGACTGGCAGAACCCAAACAAGTAGCATCACGACTTAATGACAAAGCAGTAATCGCATCAGAATGATCCGATAACTCAGCATAATATAATGACTCAGTTGTACATCCTTCTATGGCATCAATAAGTTGTTTTTCACTCCAAGACGTTGACACCTCCGACTGAACATCTTGTGAAAAGTGATTTTGAAGAAGTTCAACAACTAAACCCACATTTATAACTTTTACCTTTAAAATAATAAAGTGACAATCTCCATTCACCATAATTTCCAAAATACGGTTTTAACTTGAAACTTAACAAAAATGTAACTTCTATATTCAAATAAAATGAATAAAATTTACTACTTATCATAAAAATTACCAGTTGCTACATATTTTAATATATTTGAAGTGAAATGCAATGTTTAAAGTAATGATGTTTGACGTTATATGAGTGGAAAACTACAACAACTGATTTGAACCGGATATCACGGAAAATAGTTTCAAGTGTGTTATAATCACAAGCTTAGGCATTATTAAAACTAATAATTAGAACACCGATCGACAAGTGATGAACAACGGTACTATTAACAACTGTCTATAAGATTGAGTTGAAAACAGTCATGAATAATTGATAATTATGTGTTAAATCTGAAAAATACCAGCCTAAAAAGAATTATATTACATCACGAGTGCTAAAATGTCATTTAAAAATGGCTGTTTACATACACTTTTATTCATATACAATTCCGGCTCTCTAAAGTATCTTTTTACGCATCCAGTCTCGTGGCACGTCTAGAATTGAATTAGTAAGGACCGTTTAAATTAGTACGTATATTGATTTTGGATAAAATGGAGAATCTGTCCCTTTTCATTCTCGAAGTAGTAATAGAAATGTTAAAATTTAGCTACCGTTATTAGTGACTGATGTGTACTATAGTAATTAGTTTTTTTATTGTAATCACATAAAAAGTATGGAACGAATCAAATTGGGTTAAGTAATAATTACACACTTTTGGCCAGTTATTCATTTGTATAAACGTCAAGCTAGCTTCGAAAGATGAACTCCTGTTATTTAAAGTTGCGAAAAGATTTCCTTATCACTGAAAACTCTCGACCTTACAACGTTTCAAATTTTCGCAACTGGTCATTTCCAAATGCATCTGATCTTAATGCTCTCATCTTGGTGTACTGATATAAGATATGGCTAATTGAATTAGGACACATTTGTGCCAGGCGTATTATTTAAACAGTATTCAAATCTGGCTGACAATTTCAGACACAGAAATCCCATTTATGAGGAAAAGAAACATGAGGATGACACAAAGGCCTCGAAACTCCAAAATAACCTCTTCCACTAAAGATGAACTTGCCACCATCCACGAACCGTATTTTCGATTACATTAACTCCAAAGACATTGATCATAGTAATGATCTTCATCTATATCGGTATGGAGATCTGTGGAGATTGTAGTATTTTCAGTTGAATTCACGAGTTGATCTAAGCTAGACCACTACTGAAAACCAGGAAGCACTGAATGGCCAGGAAAACAAGTCACTGTAGTCATGCTTTTGTATGGACTAATCGTAAGTGGGAACAGAAAGCTCTAAACTATGGTTATGAATATCGAATCAGCATCAACATGATGAAAGAGGCCAAAGTTGCCCACAATTCAGTTACTGAGCATCGGAGAGCCGACAATTCACTAAATATAATGTTGCTGGTTTCAGTCGAAGATATTAAACACCACATAGAATGTTTCCATGTACAAAAACCGTTGCAATTCTGTTGCGCCACGACAGAACTAAAATAAACCTACCACAATTACTTTATGATAGGATCTGAGGTGATTTGACATTAAATCGTTTAACAATGACTTTGTAGTTGAAATCCCTTCATTTTCCATACCTTATAGGGGAGCATATTCCTACTTCACAAGTTTGGGAACAAACTACTTGACAACTGATTGTAACACTGTTGAAAATGATTCTTTTAAACAAGAACTAGCACTTTCTTTTGTAGATAAGCTAGAGTGGGATGACCTGTCGTGTACATATTACGGTCCTACCAATATCCTCACCAATGAAATAAAACTAGGTCTGTCGACAAGTGCAGAACGACAGAACCATAACAAAATACTCGTCACGGAGCTTAAGTATTAAGCATAATATTAAAAGCACACTAAACAACCAGATTTTAAAAAATATAACATGCGAAAGGTGATTTAATTGGACCAAAATTGCAAAAACATCGTACCATATGATGAGCAGAATATGCTAACAGAAGGCTTGGGTCACGTGGTGGGACAAATACATCATCATGGATATCATTTGCAAGTGGGAGTGCAGTTTTGGACCCATGCAACCACGGACACCACACGAGTGAAGAAATATCCAAAGGAACAAAATTTTCTGGTTGATTTAAGCAGAAGAATAACGACGAAGTCATTGGGTCCTCAGAACCCAAACCTTGATCAATCTACATTTCCAAAATTCGAAATTTTTAATATAAAGATTACTAACTTTAAAAACACTAACTGCTCCAGAGTGGTCAAGAATGCCTAAAAGAGCCTCGGTGCGGAGTGCAAAATCAATGTATGTGATACGGTCTGTGAAAGAACGCAAGAGCAACTTTTTTCCCGTCTCTGTATTCAGCAGCCGCACCATACCTACATGTATATCTTCGTCAGAATCTGTTTTTTTAACATCTGCAGAACAATAATAGTTGCGCAATATCTACCTACGTTTAATTGCATAGGCGATCAGTGAACTTGCGTGATGACGTGCAATGAGACGTGTTACATAATACTGATATTCCCAAAAGTATTTGACAGCTGGCTGAATGCTAATCTAATCCAGATAAGAAGGTGAATATACACTGTACCTTGCAGCTGGCCGAAACATCTCTACAATCCAGAGCACTTTTAGCGCTAGGATATACGCGCACATGTGACGAATATATCTCTCTAATATTTTCCTCATCATTTCCGGAGAATTTTCTGAAACCATAATAAATCCCATATCACTAATTACATTTCCTCAATCACCGTCATCTTTGGATTATAAGAAATATCCCAGGGCCGTATTTTCAAGGTTGAATGTTTCTGTGTTGGTAAAGTGAAACAATTTCCTACATCCAATAGCCATACCAAAACCTTATGTAAACCAACTGATTTCTCTGAGATCTCTTCTCTTTGCCTAGTACGGTTTCAGGTACACGGTAGTCCAGTACATATTAATTATGTTTGATCACAACGAGCTCTTATTTCGCCTGTTACTCCCAATGGAGCATAGGCCACCGACCAGCATTCTCCAACCCATTCTGCCCTATACCTTTCTTTCTAGTTCTGGCAAAATGTTGTTCATTCTTTTCATCTCAGTCTCCATTTTTCCGCATAATGTGTCCTTTGGTCTTCATCTTTTCCTTTGGCCTTGAGGAGTCCAAGTGAGGTCTTGCTTTGTGACACAGTCTTGTGCTTTCCTCAATGTGTGTCCTATCCACTTCCAGAGCTTTTTCCTGATTTATTCCTCCAGTGGGATCTGGTTTGTTCTCCCCCATAGTAGGTTGTTGCAGATAGTGTCTGGACAACGGATCCGAAGTATTTTGCGTAAACAAATGTTAATAAACACCAGTATCTTCTGGATGATGGCTGTCATAGTTCTCCAGGTTTCTGCTCCATACAGTAGAACTGTCTTGACATTTGTATTGAAAATCCTGACCTTGTTGTTGGTTGACAGACAGTTGTTTTGAGTTCCAGATGTTCCTCAGTTGTAAATATGCTGCTCTTGTTTTGCCGATCCGCGCCTTCATATCTGCATCAGATCCACCATGTTCATCAATGATGCTGCCCAAATATGTAAAGGTTTTTACATCTTTCAAATCTTCTCCGTCAATCGTGATTGGATTGGTGCATGATGTGTTGTATCGGAGAATCTTGCTTTTCCCTTTGTGTATGTTGAGACCTACTGCTGCTGTGGTTGCTGCTACACTGGTAGTTTTCTCCTGCATTTGTTGTTGCTATTGCAATAGGAGGGCCAGATCATATGCGAACTCTAGATCGTCCAGCTGCATCCTAGCTGTCTACTGTATCCCATGCTTCCCCCCAGATGTTGACGTCCACATGATCCAGACGATCACCAATAGAAAGAGGAAAGGTGAGAGTAAGCAACCTTGCTTGGCACCGTTCGTTTCTTTGAACGAGTCTGTAAGCTGTCCTCTATGGAGGTGAGGTGTCATTCTTTCCAGTGTGTTGGTACCTGTTCTGGTGCTCCCCTTCACTTGCTTGTTTACTTCTGTGTATTCAGCTTGTGCCTTGGTTTTCTCTGCTCTTATTCAGCTGATATTGGTTGCTGCCTTCTTGGTCCTCCTTTTTTGAATCATATCCAGTGTATCGATGGTGATCCACTCAATATGTGTTTCACAAATTCCAAGCACCTCTTGGTTGTATCTTTTCACTTTTGCAGCAACTTGCATGATTCTTCTGGTCTCCTACATTGTAAGAAAATTCCACGTAACTAAGTTAATTTTCGCTCTGGACTTCCAAAGGAACTCGGCTTTCACCATGAGGCATCATGACTCTTCTGAATAAAGACATTCTAACTCCCAGGGAAGAGTTTTAAAGTTTTGAATAATTTTCTTCTAGTTAACGTGTTTTTCGCGAGTTAGTTTCCTAATAGATGTGATCACCGACCCCATGCTCATTCCTCCTACTTTATCCGGGCTTGGGACAGGCAGTAGCCCCAGAGGTGCTCCGGATGGAGTTGAGTTCTTACTACGTGCATCTATATAAGTATTCTCAAACTGTTTTTGTTAAGAAGTTATTAAACCGTTTTAAATGTTTCTGGATGAAGTAGAAGATGCTTTCACTTAACGAGCTTTCGTATCTAGTAACAGTGGATCCCCAGTGCTTCCAAGTTGGAACCTAGTTATGTGTAACGATAAAAGAAGAAAAATATTAGTGGATTAGAGAGCGATACTGTCCTTAGTTTTTGTGAATATATCGGCTTTTCTCTAAAAGCACTCTTGGCAAGTCACTTGAACTAGCCCAGCTGGCAGTGAATTTCAGTATTTGACTACTATTAAGGAGTAGAAAGTGTGTCTAAATTCCGTCTTACCGTGTTGTGTCTCCAGTTTCCGGGAATTTCTCCCCAGGTTTGTGTCGGGACTGAATCTAAATAGGTACTTAAGAGGATGTTCAGAAGTATTTCGGATGCCGTAAGCCATAAATTATCTCTAATATACACCTTAATGGGTAAAGAATCAGTTATTTGAGACGCACTTCATATAGCTTGAATTTTCATTCCTCGTGCTGATTTTGTCGCTCGTCTTGGAATGCGTTCCGCTGTACTTCTGTTCTTCTGGAGCGATGAAGGAAACGAGGCTTAACCATAATTTATGGGAAACCTTTGAACAAGTCTTAAGTGAAGTTGAGGAAATTTCAGCCAGTCAGAAAAAACAGTATTGAGTAAGAATACATTTTACAAAACCAAAAATCAGATTGGATACACCCCTTTATCATAGTTTAAAATCTTTTCGAGGTTAGTAAGAGGCTCTGCCGTTTTGAAATTGTAGTGTTTACGATACAGTAACTCATCCACATTACTTGATAATAGTCAACCTCTGGAGCTATTATAAGGTCGCAAATGTTGTTACAGCCTCGACCAAATTGCTACCATATTATTTTTGTGTACTCTAGTGGTGGGGTCTACAAAATGGCGTTTTTGGACGACGATAGGGTGCACGTAAACAATTCTATATGAGCATCGATATGCTCTGCAGTCATCTATGTATATTTCCTTTCCCAGATGCCCATACCCTCTTATAATTGGCACTATAGTTGTAACTTATCGCTTTCTGACGTTCCGGAATCGTCTTTTTTGAAATGGTCTGTCGTATATACCAAAGATCCGTTAAGTATATTTATTGAAATGCTACTTAAACGGTCTTCTTTAACACTTTCTCCTCTGTTGAATTTCGTTTTCTCCGTCCATTTTTCCGAGTCTGCCAACTCCTCCAAACGATTCATGCAAGCTCATCATTTCTGATGCACACACATCTCAACAATACCCATACCATATCTTGGTGGCGAACGTCTCACCGGAGTTTTCGCGTCGTCAGGAAAAAGTAACAAATCAGACAACACATGCTGAGGAATGTCGTTTATATAAGTCAAGAAAATAAGGGGTCCTAGGATTGAACCCTCGTAAACTCCACGAGGACATCCTTTAGTATGAGAAAAAACGAATTTTACCGTGACTTTAAAATAATGGTTATTTAGATATCACGTAAGGCAGTAGATAAATGGTGAATTGATGCCTATTTGTTTGAGCTTATTGGTAGAATACATATGATCGACCCTACCAAAAGCTTTAGTGAAGTCAAGTTATGCGATGTCAACCTTCTTTTTGCGATCAAGGGTGGTTAACCATCTGTCCACCATAGTCAGCATGTTGATTATACAAGCGTGACCCTGTAGAATTATGGTATATTATGATACTAGTACTGCCCTAAGAACAGACCTAATCCCATTATTGTAGATTTGTCATGATATAACTGCTTAATCTATAAGATCTTACGTGGAAGTCACATCATCGTAAACACCAACTGATTCCATCGTCACAATTACCAATACATGGTAGAGAACAAACTTAGTCTAGAGATAGAACGATATATTTGGTAGGAATAAAAATATAAGGTAACATTCAGCAGGGATCACGCCTGCTAGGCCGAGCCATGTCATCCGATCAACTCGGACTAATTCAACTCCTTGTTCCCGCCTTCTCCATTGTTAGATATTCCTCCGCGTCGAATACGATTTACCTATTTTCCGAATAGTCTCGTGTTCAGCTTTGAGGATTGTGTGGTTATGGTCCAATGCCACTACAACTCTTCCTGAAACCATGCTTTTGGGGTGAGGATTTTAAGGATAACCTGTAGCCACATAGAACATCGTACATTAGGAACTCTATAATTTTTGAGTGTATGGAGAGAAGAGCTTCGAGCCGAGAGCTTGAAGATTCACTGCGTCGACCTCTCTTGAAGATTGGTGTAATGTGAGCAAGCTTCCAGTTTTATGGTTCAAATGGTTGTGGACGGAATAGAAGAAGCTTTCGCTTAACAGGCTTCCGTGTCTAGTAGCAGGGGATCACCAAATTCTCCAGGCAGGAACCTAGGTATGTTAACAATAAAAGAGGAAAAGAAATTGGTAAATCATAGTATGATACTGTCTTTGGTCCTTAAGTATAGGTCAAGTTGCCTCTTGAAGGACTCCTGAGAAGTCGCTTGGACTAGCTCGGCCGGCAGTGAATTCCAGCTTTTGACAACTCTTAAGGAGTAGAAGTTGTGTCTATATTGAGTTTCCAGTTTCTGGGTGTTACCCCTTAGGTTATTATTCGAACTAAGCTTGAGTAGGTGTTTAAGAGGATGTCCAGAAGTGTTAAGAATACTATAAGCCATTAATAAATCACCTCTAAGACGCCTATACTCTAATGGGTAAAGGTCTAGTGAATGGAGGCGTTCTTCGTAAGGCTTAGATTTGAGTCCGCGAACTGATTTCGTGGCTCGCCGTTGGATACGCTCCAAAGTGATCTTGTCCTTTTGGAGTGAGGGGGGAGTACTATATTTCCGTGCTCTAAATGGGGACGGATAAAACTATTGAAGATTGTATGGAAAGTTCTTCCGTCAAACTGGCCAAAAATGCGCTTCAATGTTACCAGTGCAAGGTTAGCTCGGAAGGCATTTTTGTCACAATTAGCGTAAGACTTTAAATCATGGGGCACCAGGACTCCTAAATCTTTTTCGACTTGTGATACTACTAGAGAGGAATTTCTTAAGTTATAACTGTAGTCTGCGACATGTCGCAGATGGATTACTTTACACTTTGAAGTGTTAAATGTAAGTCCGTTATCGTCTGCCCAACTTTGAAGTCGAGTCAGATCCTCCTGAAGTGCCTGTGTATCGTCTTGGTTGCGTATCTCTCTCCAAAGTTTCACGTCATCGGCAAAAAGTAGTAAGTCTGACGTTACCTGTTGAGGAAGATCGTTAATGTAGATC